TTCATCTGCTATCCCAGTGTGCCACATTGTGCCAACAGTAAATCAATCCCAGAGGGCGAAGAAATAATAATTCTTTCTTTCTTCCTGGTCATATACAAGGCCCACTAATCAAATTAGCCTTAATTAAATCTGATTCGATGTCATTCATTTGCTATGCGGGCAGGCGTTGCATTTCAACATCTCGGTGGAAGAGTGATCTAGAGGAAAGACAGTCATCGATTTTAAGTCAACCGGAAGTTTGTAGAAACGTGAAAATACATACAAGGCTTCGACATGTACAGCTGTGATTTGTGCAGCAGGTTAGTGAGAGATTAGATGTAAGCTTTGCTTTGTTTTTTCAGATACTGTGGTGTACTACATCTGTATAAGCCCGCAGGCCCATGGGAGCCCCTGCTGGCCAACACAACCACTGTTTGAAACAAGCAGATTCAAGAAGCTCTCCCTGAGGCCAAGGAAAATGGATATTGATCTGGAGCCATGACTAAATGGATTAAATTACAGAGTAGTGTTGGTAGCAGGGCAGCAGAGAGAACGAGACAAGAGGGAGGAGGAGGAGGAGAGGAGGTGGAACTGAAATGGAGGGAGAAACAAAAGGGAGGAGGAAAAGCAGACACAGGAGGTATTGAAAGTCTACCAAAATCTTTCCCCTGCAAACCGCTTTCTTTCTCTGTGATTCTTCCGATCAATAGCCCACCCAGCAGCCCTGTGCAGTCATCCCCTGCATGCCATACTCCCAAGCATCATCCTGGTCTTCATGCAGTTATGAGCCAACTGGCTTTAGAGAAATCGGCAGTCAGGGGATTATCATTTTTCATTCAACCAAGGCTGTTGAGTGGTAAGAATGCCAACTGCATGCTGGGAGCAAAAAGAAGATGCATCATCATGAATACAGAATCCAAAACAATCCTTCAGAGGGTGTAAATCAGGACGCATCTGGCCGGCTGTCAATCGCAGTCAAACCTGTTTGGTATAAACAATTAATCAATCTGCAATCCTCCTGAAGCCTCTCCCCTCCCTGGCCTTGTTGATGGGTCTGGGGGCTGCAGAGAAGAGCTTTCTGAGTGCTTCTCCTGTGAGCCCTGAGAGTTGGTATTCGGGACATTAATGCGTTCACGTGTATGACAGGAATATCAAAGAGGTGAGTTTGAGCTGCACTGTAAAAATGAAAAAGTCAAGTCAATTTCAACAACAATCTTCAATAATAATTTTCAGTTATGCAATTTAACCTGGTTTCTTAAAGCAGCTTTATTAAAGACTCTGGTACTAACGATGAATCACATGACTAAGAGGGGTCGCACGTGGAGGTGGACCCACAGAGATCACAACCTGACTATACAGTTCTCTTCAGCTCTGCAGAGCTTTACGGTGACTTTTAAGCTCTTTGTTTTGGTTTCCTGGCCTGTAACTTTACTGTTTGGTTCACTCTCACTGCTCTCATCAGTGTCGCTAACAACAAAGCTCTGAGCGAATAGCTGTTTCGCAGCTAAAGAGCCAGACATTTCCCTCAGGAGTTGGTGGAGATCAAAAACAGAGCTTAAAGAGAGTGAATATTGGATTTTCGCTCACTCTGTGAACAGAAATGTGACTCTGAATAAATGCTAATGTTGCTCAGTATCAACTTAAAAGGTAATAATGTGTCAATATTTGACTCACAGCTTGTTTCTGCTGCCCCCAAGTGGCCAAAAAGCTGCACGTTTTGGCTGCAAGTTGGTATACTTTTGAATTTTCTGTTCTCTTTCTTCAAGAGTAACTTATGCAGTTACAGCCAACTTGAATTTTCACCTATGTTAAGTTGCTCAAAGTTACCAAAATCTGTAATTTTTAGCTTTATTTTTTTAGTTTTTGGCTTTATTATCAATCATGTCAGTAAAACAGTGACAGTCGGATTCCTAATGAGATTCCTCATCGTCAGATATTCTCCTGCAGAAGATCGTCTGGGATTACATGAAGACCTGACCTGACTTTAAACTGACAGACCCATTCAATTACAATGGTGCAAAGGTAATAGAAAATAACTGATTCAACAGAACGGATTTTGAAGAGGGCTCTGGTATAAAGCAAACACTAAGTGAACTCCAAAAACATTTTACAAATGAAAAACACAAGTTAACAACTCTTACTAACTTTGAAATCCCAGCTAAAGAGAGCAAGTTATCAGGTCTCACTCACGTCTGTTGAAACAAGAGACTAACTTAGTCTGTGGGCTCTTCATTTTTTCTTGAAAGATTTTATAAGCTAGCAACCGTTATTTATACCAAAAATGTTTAAGTTAGTGTTTTTGTAGTACATAGTGATACCAACATCATGAGTAGGCTGTTTATCCCACAAAGGTAACTTCTCCTGCCATTGTTGAAAATGTCTGTGAACAATTGGTTTTTCAAGACCTAATTTCACTCATCTAATATTCAAAGTATCAGCCCAAACCCTGTAGTGTCTGTTGATAAGATTCATTATCACACACTGTATTTCTCATGATCAAGGCCCATTTCCTCAACTCCTGAGCTCTAATCATAAACACTTTTCCCCACTCCACTTCATTCCCTCCAGGGCAACCCTCCACTTCATGGCTAGATTGAATATTCATAAAGACTTCTGATTTCAGATGACACACGAGTATCCGCCTATGCTCGACATATGCATAAAATGTGCATTAACATGGTTTTATTCCTGTCTCACTGATGTGGAGAGCGGATGTTTATAGGACATTTAATGGAATCCATCCCTCAGAGTGGCCATCAGATTGCCTGTAATCTACCAAAGACTCTTTGAAGATCACAATTTACAACATGCATGACTGACAGCTACCAAAAGTTATCTGATGTGGTGCACAGCACTGTAACAGTTTGGATTGTCTTTGCTTTCCCTCCGGTCTACAACTATATAAATTGGCAAACACAGCGTGAAGCATATGGCTATTGCCCCCAACAAATTTGTTTCTTTTTTATATGTGGCCTAGAAATTTCCTAAACCATAAAGCCACAGAAATGTCCTCTGGGAGTGTGAGATACAAAGAAATTTGACAGTCCATGGAAGCACATAATCAGTCATTGCACATCATTCCAGTGTCTTGGTTCTAATTGCAAAGCATCACAACTCTCTAGCTCCATCTGTTGAGACATTTTTAATAATCATAGGCCCACGTTTGTGATTATGGACACAGAAGTTAAAATCCAGCAAAGGGAAAACACTGAATTATTGCGAGGCATTGTCGACACAAATGTCAGCTGAGATAATGATTCACTGGCAGCCACAGATTCTTATGTAACAGCTGTAATTCTTCAAACATGCTTGACTGAATAAACTAATGAGGGCTGGGTCAACTTTCTCATATGTCTAGTGATTTTAAAAATCCATCTGTTTTCCGTATCTGCTTGTAATATGCAGGGTCTCGGGATGCACCGGGCAGAACAAACGGTACACCCTGTACAGGTCACCAGTCTATCACAGGGCTAACACACTTGACAGACACATTCACACCTTCAGGCACAGAGAACATGTCAGATCCACTCAGGAAAAGCCCAGGTGGCTGGGCTGGGTTCAAACCTTTTTACTGTACAGTCAGTGCTAACCTTAAAGCACTGAACTGACGTTTCTTTATTACTAACTCCGATTGTCAGGCGAGAATAATGGACCTAATATTTTCAGAATGTTAATGTTTGTATAAAATGACAAAAGCAGGATGTATCAGTAGATATAACGCTAATGATGTTGACATTTATGAATTACACTGAAATCCAGAGCTTGCACAGTCTCCAGAGTCAGGAAGCGGGCAGGCAAAATCACTGCAGACCCCTCACACCCTGGACTCAACCGACTCCCACGCCTGCCCTCTGGTAAGTGCTACTGAGCACAGTATGCCAAAACAGCCAGACACAACAACAGTTTCTTCCCACAGCCACATCACTCTGATGAACAGTTAATCAGTCGTGTAATATGAGAAACAATCCCTGTGCAACAACCCTGTAATACTTCACAAATCAACTGTACCTACAAACTATATTCATTTAAAAGACACTTTGTACAATAACACATATCATCCATCACTTGTCAAATATAAATACAAGTAGGCCGCAAATACTACATACACACGTGTACTTGGCCATACTGTACATAACTACCTACTATATGTATATAAATGAATGGAAAAGAAACAGCCCAAACTGCAGGATGTACTGGAAAACAGTGGGATTATCTCTATTCATGGCTGTTTTAAGGACCGTTACACCAAGGACTGCTGGTTAGCAAATGTCATAAACTGTATTTCCGGAGTTTGTGCAGGATTCATAAAGTTAAATTCAAGACTTTTTTAAACCTTTTTAATACTGCAGGGAACACAACTTAACACCTAAAAAAACACCAAAAAAAGAAAGGCCTGTAAAAGGATATGGGCTAGAACTTATTGAATTATTTTTTTCTTTTTTAGTTCTGTAATGATATAGTTAAGGTAATTAATCCAACTTGCACCTGGAGCAACAGCAAAAGGATAGATGAATGCCCATGAGATGAGCCTTCTAGCTACTGCAGCAGCGACAGTGTTTGATGGTGCTGACTGGACCTGAACATCCTCCTGCAGCACAATCCACCGTCACGACACGAAGGTAAAAACATTCAAGACCATTTTTTTTGTTCAATTTAAAGACTTTTCAACCTTCTTGAGGCCTTTTTGGAGAAAACCATTTCATTCTTTTTAAAACTTTGCAAGACCGACAGAAACCCTGATTTCCCCCATCATGAAAAAACAAACTGAAGTAGAAAAATTGTAACATGGCCTATTCAAAACGTTGAGCTGAATTCTCCTCAATGGTTTTGGCTTTAAGACCCTACAAGTTACCCACAGTGCACCAACACAGGTGTTTTCACTTACTGCAATCAGCCAGAAGAACTGAAAACACCTGTGATTGAAGAGCCAATTAAAAAAAAAAACAAGCTTTGCTGATATGGACAACAATTTAAAAGAAGCAGGTTTGAAATCATTGTTTTATTTCTCAAAGCAATGCAACGAAATACAACAAAAACATGTAAAACCTAAACCAAATATCGTAACAAATTTAAAAAAAAGAGAAGAAAAAAAGAAACGCTCTTTAAATCAGTGTGTTGAAGAGTATGTCAGAGTGAGGCGAGATATTTCAGTCTTTTCAGAGGCTGGTTAATTAAAAAACGTCTTAAAAATGGGGATCTGAAATGAATTCTAATGGGAGATGAATAGAAATAAATACCAAGATTCAAGTGGAATATAAAAGTAATTATACAAAAAAATCACATAATTACTTCAGGGACTTCGGGTTCGGGGCTGAAGAGATTGGACATTTGAGAATTTAAAAAAGTCATATTAATAAACCCAAGTGTTAAACCAAGTGTCCTCACTAGACCATGTCTGTTCATGGCAACAAAGAACGGAGAAAATCCACTCGTTCTTATCTGTCTGGACGCATCATGCCCGGCCTGACTGGCATCATCATCGGTCGAGGGTGACGCATCATGTGTGGTGGTCCTGGCATCATCTGCATGGGTCCTCCCATTGGCGGCCTCATGCCTCCTAAAAGTGACAGTTGAAGGAATACGATTTACGAAGAGTCGCATCAAAGCATTTAAAACTTCAGATCTCATTAAGAAACCTGGTTAAGATCAGAAAATAATGAAAAATGTCTGTTATAATTTCAAACTGCTACTGGTGACCTATTTGTTTGTTTTATTCCACCAACAGTCCAAAACCACTGAATATTTGGAATTTCTATGATTAATTGATTATTAAAACAGTTGCCAATTCATTTTCTGTTCATTGACTAATGGAATAATTGACTAATAATTGCAGCTGTATTGCAGGGCATCAAAGATCAGGCTTGTCTGAAATATCTTCAACTCCCCAAAAACACTCCTGTCCCTGGGAGCACCTTTGAATGTTACGTTACACAAATTAGAAATAAGTGAAGCTTTGCCAAAGACACATCATGCGTCTTACCTGGTCCACCAGGCATCATCCCATGTGGTGGAGGTCCCATCATGGGCATCATAGGAGGACCTCCCATGGGGGGTGTTGGTAGCATGCCTGGGCGAGGAGGCCCTCCTGTTTTACAAAAATGAAAACATTTAGATGTGAAGACAACATACTATGCGAGTTAGACCGGATTCACATGCATCACAGTGGATTATGTTTTATTGGAAGGGCTTAATTTGCACTGACTTGTAACAAAGCAGAAAACACACACCTAGGTAAATGTGTTATATAAACATTTTTAAATTAATCTGTTAAAACTGGGTTAGAATATGTTTTCAACGTTGTCAATTTTTTTTAGTAGATTATAACCTTTATTTGCCATCTGATGACTATATTTTCAATATAACTGGTTTCAGCCTGGGATGCTCATTTTGAATTTTGCTCTAACCGATAGCCGACACTTGTTAACCGACCATTAACTGGAACCAAAGTAATCCTCTCCTGTGTAGGGAAAATATTAAATAACTCATTAAAACAAATAGCAAATAGTACCCACACTTTCTAATGTATAAACAGATTAACAAAACAAAATCGCACTTTGAGTCCTCCAGCGTTGAGGGCATTGTAATGAAAACCTCCTCCTCCTCTGCTCTCAGCCGACTGATGATCAGGAATAGCCAATAAATTAACAAAATGGAAACCTGCAGTTGCATTTTTCACACCTCATAATAAAATAAAACAGACTTGGCCTACCTCAGTCCTCAGCACAGCGGAGAGCTTGTCTACCGGTCTTTATTCAGAAATAGCAAAATGGCACCGTGCTATGAGGTTAGTCTGGTGCACAGTCTGTTAACTGTGAGACTCTCCGCAGAGAATACCTGCTCACACGGTACTGTTTTTTTTTTTTGCATTCAGTGGACACCCTGAATGTAACTTAAATGTTTGTCACCAGTCGTCGCCAGAATTCGACAATGAAGTTGGTCGGTAAAATGTTATAACAAAGAGGAGTGGAAAAAGAAATAGAGCCATGTTACTATTACGTCCAGTGGTATAGTAGTAGTTTTTATCTATTAAAATATTTGAGTACGAATTTAACTATAAAAAGCCGGTATCCATGTCATAGTAAATTAAATTATTGCAGAGCTGAAAGACATTGAATGGACTCACCTGGAGGAGGGCCACCAGGGAACGGCGTGGGAGGGATCTTTCCCTGTTGAAAGGCAGCCGCTGTTGAGAGAAAAGACAAAACATTCAACAAAAACAACCAGACAGAGATATTTCATGTACAGTATCAATCATGTGCAGCATACAATCTTTTCATTGCATTTGTGCTTTTAAAGATTTAATTTAAGCCTGTTACATGCTTTACGTATTGAATGCTAACAACACAAAGTGCAAGAGGAGCCTTTTTGCTGCAAAGGAGTTTAGTCTATAAAACAACATTATTACTCCACACTGGACAATACTATGCTCTAGCATCACACTGGCTTTGCATCTCTTATGTGGATTAGTGGTTTGTAATCTCAGAGGGGGCCCAAGTATGGTGTACATAGTACATTATTTAGGTAGACAGCTTGGAAAGCCAACACAAGCACATAAGCATGTCTTGTGTGGGCTATGTACCAGGCTTTACTCTAACGTGAAATTCATTGTCTACATCTAACCAGGGCACTAAATATGGAAAAGAAAAGCATGCTGTACCCACATTAGGAGTGTGAACAGTTGACTGCACAACCACATAAATCATCAGTAATATATGTTACTGCCACTAGAGGTCGCTTTCATATTTAAGTTAAACTTACAGCACATGAGTATCCCAAAGGGTTGACTCAGTTAAGCCTCACATTTTGAAGACCCTTAACAGAGTGTCCTCCATCACTATGTATTTCACACTGAGCAAAATGTCTATGAAAACTCTCAGCCACCCAGGTTATAGTACAGTTAGAATATTTAGAACTTCAGCTGTCCTGCAGAAGAGACATCTTTTGGATGCGTGGCAGTGTCCTAAAGATATGAACAGCAGGTTTATGCCAAGTTTGCTTACTCGTTTTATCGATCAGGCTCTGAGCCTGCTCCTCCATCCATTTCTGGTAATAATCCTTCACATTTTCTTTGTGTTTCCTGCCACTGCAGTGGGTCTTCCTCACCGATGGCTAGAAGGGAAAGAGAATAAAGTTATGGATATTTAACAGGGGCAGAACAAACCAGAGATTCTTTCATGCTTGTCAACAATTTGATTTGGGACAGACAAACACAACTTACCGAATCATGTGTAAGGTAGGTGTCACAGTAGTCACAGTAAAACCTGCGGAATGAAAAAAAAAAAATTCAGATCTGTGGAAAAGAAAGCTCTGGGAAATTGACCTGTGTGTCATCACTTACTCATTTTATATTTATATTATTTAGGTCAGAGTGACCTTGACCTGAATGAGTTCATCCTTGAGTCCAAGGGATCATTTGTGCCAAATTTTAAGAAATTCCAGCAAGGCATTCCTCAGCTATAAGTGTTCACTTGCGCTGTACTTACAATCTGAAAACATATTTCCTCCGGCCACAGCTGTAGAATGACTAATAGTTGAATCTCTTTTCAGAATAATGGAAAGTTTTTTTGTTTGTTTTTTCATCTTTATTTAATCAGGTTGATTTCACTGAAAATTAGATCTCTATTTCATGAGAAACCTGAGAACAAGAACGTTTTGACTGACAAACACATAATCAGCAAATAGAAATGACAAAGACCCAATAAAAACAACAGCTTATAAAGTTTTTCAATCTCTAAAGTATGAAAAAATAAACTAAAACGGTATAAAACTAATGCAGTGCAATACAACAGTCCTGCAATAGATCCTGTCTTTACAGTGGTTATAATAATCAGTTTTTGTTGAAACTGTAGAGAGGTGTTGATTCAGCTTTATAATTTTGAAGGATGCAGTTTGTGGTGCTGCTGAATAGCTTTTTGTTATACAGACAGGTGTTTCTACTATTTTGTCCACCCCACTTATATCAGTGAGGGTAGACAACATAATAGAAACATCTGTACATCGCGATAGTTCACCAGACCACAAACTACAGCCTCCATAACGACCATAATTTTGAATCAACAGCTCTTTAACACAGTTTCAACACAAACTGAACATTACAACCTTCATAAGATTTTTTTTAAGATTCGTAGGATTTATTGCAGAGCTGTTGCATCAGACTGCATTAGTTTAGCAAAGTGTACCTAATAAACTGCCAACTGAATGTAATTGCTGAATTACAACTGAGAAAACTATCTGAAGAAAGACGAGTGATACTGTCGCAAACTCGCTAAGCAACATGCGAGTAAAGGACTCTTGATTTGTGGTTGTTTAGTCAACTACATTAATGTTGTACAACGTTAAGTTAGCGTAGTAAGTAATAGCCGGAAGTAATTTCGACGTGATAATATCGTAATGAAAAGATTTCATAATACGGCGTTTAGATTGTTCTTTTGCCGGTTAATCTGGTAAATCGAGGTTAACTCCAGCACATAGACAGAGCCCAAACAAAGATCGCGGCGTTCATCTGGAAACAAACCTGTCTGTACCGTTAGTTTTTCATTTTTTATTTGGCACTATTCTATCCTCAATACAAATATTAACATTTATTAAGTTTGTTGAAAAATTGAAATCAGAGAATGGGCGTTAAAACGAAAGAATATGTTAACTTACTTAGGCATGTTTCGTTGCAGTCCCCGTCGAGAGCGCGGCTCCGGTGTTACCAACAAATGTTCCTAGCAGATATGAGAATTACCTAACGTTAGTTCCGCCTTGAAGTCATGTAACTAATAACTGTTAAAAAACAACGTTTGTTTTCTTTAGCATAGGCGATAAGTGATTCAGAAATAAGCCACCACACCAAAAGATGTTTGCAAATAGAATATTTTACGTTATATTTTGTCCATTTCCAGATTCTCAAGGGAAAGCACAATGATTGAGAACATTTTGTTGGAGGTTTTACTGTTTGTTAATCACAAATTGCGAGCACTGAGTTGCTTTTATTAAAATGAAAGATCTTATCCACTCTATGTATACCATTCATGATTATTATAGAACAGATGATAAAAGACAGACTGGTACTTTGTGTCATTTATGCCCTGGTAAAACAAGCCGCTTCCACTGCATTGATGAGAGGACTGACAAATCGCATTTTCATTTTCATTTTGACCTCAAAAGAGTGTAGTGACATGTAAACGCAAATGCATTGGCCTGTTTTCTTATATTTCTTCTTGTATTTGAATATTGTCACTGTAGAGCAGGTTAAATCTTTGAAAATGAATTGTCAATATCTTTTCAATTATCATTTTAATATGGTCATAGAACAGCCACCTGAGTGTGTGAAAATGATAATGCAAATTGGATTACTGCATTTTCTTCTTAATTGTCTTTACTTTGCTGTACTGAAGAGCAGCATGAGAACAGGTGTGCGACCTGGGCAGCTCACACAGGTGTCTTGAGTATTCTGGGTCCTGTGTCCTGAGCTCATTCTCTGTTTGCCCGACAGCTGAGCTGATTCCCTCTGTCGTTTCACTTTTGTTCCTGAGGTCGTTGAGTGAGCTTATTTCATTTTATTTCCTCAGGTCATGTTTATTTTGTTGTATACATCTAATCTCCTCGGTTTGTTCTCACATGGTTATATTTCTAGAATGAGAATGTATTGATGTACTGATTTTTGATTTAGAATTGTTCATTGTTGTTGTTTATTCAATATAATATGATGGACTTTGACATGTATCTGCACTTTCTTTCGCTTGTAAAAATATAACCAATCAGCTGTAACTACTCACACCTGATTGACTACAAGCAAAGTATCAAATATGACATTAGCAAGTCTATACTTCCAGATTATATTTTTCTACTGTCATTTGCACTCATTAGCTCTTAATTTGGGGGTTCAATTAAAAAGGGCATTCTACATTTTCATTTGTGACATTTAATAGATATCTTATTGGAATACACAACTGTTGATACAGAACAAAGTCAGTGTCTGTGCCCCATGTGTTGTCTGTGGAGGATTTTAAGATTGTCTGTGATTTCTATCTTTAGTACAGATAAGACTGAACTGTCCTTGGGCAAAGGAATGACATGTGATATTTTCAAAGCCTTTATTTAGTCAAAATTGCCTTCAAATGAATGAACAGTGTCTGAGTTTTAGAGTTTACTATGGTAAAAGCATAGGTTAAAAATAAATTGAATAGAACTAAAACCTTGATTGTTTTGGAAGCGCATTACTCAGCACAACTTTGAGATGCTGAATAAATTGAACTTGATTTTTGTTGTTGAATCATTGAAGTGATATTTTTTGTAATTATATCAGTGGTGAGATAACAATAGACTATGAAAGAAGTGCTTTTGTCAACATAGATATAGTAGAAAACCCAGTACTCAAAATTCCCACACAGGGTGCAACAAAGTTACTTTTTACCTTTTGTAAAACCTGAATCTGATAAGACAGTGACGATCCAATCAACATGCAAAGCACAAGCAGAGAGCAGGTGGTCCTGTTGCCTTCATCAGCAGATCCTGAAAGGTATAGTAGATTTTCAAGATGAAAGGTGTAAAATTTTCAACCCTGCGCCGTCCTCCACCTTGAAAATCTACAACTATATGAATCTGCTGATGAAGGCAACAGAACCAACTGCCCTGATTGGACTGGATACTACTGCTAAATTAACAATTTTAATGAGGTCGTATTTTCCACTAAACACTGCTGGTTAGAATCATGCATAGGGTGAAATAGGCTCTCATTTTCATTGGCACTAGTAAATACCACTTAAACCACAACCAAGTAATTTATGTGTAACAGTCTCTCCTGTGTTTGTGTCCCCTGGGAATTACCGTAGGGCTGCCATAAGGTGTTGATTTTACTCCATATCCATGTCCAGGTTGTTATTTTGATATGAAATGCTCAGTTACATATACACAGTCCTGCCTGCAGCATGTCTCTGGTCCCGTGGATTGACTAACACCGTTTTGGACTGCAGCTGGTGACTCGGGTTGTTGTTCTGCTCTGGTGAACGGCTACATGACCTGCTAGCCAAAGTCACAGAGACCATGGAGCAGAACAAGCACTGCTGTCTCCAGCGGTAGTTAGCGGGCTAGCTGTTTAACAGTTGACAGTGGGCTGGTTAAGAGCGACTGAACTTTTGAATTTAAATATCTTTTAGCAGCTTTTAATGACGTTAATCTGCAGCCGTCTCCCCCAGCAGCTAGCTTGCTGGCTGGGCGCATGGGCCACTGGGGGCAAGCTAGCCGCCTCCCCCGATTAGCATTAGCATTAGCAGCTAGCTTGCAGGCATTGTACATCGATGAATAAACAACGTTAACAACATTATACTGTGTAAAAAAAAAAAAAAACTGTAAAAAAGTGACTGAATACTTTCTAAATGTACTGTGTTTCTAATTAAATGATCTGTCAAACAGACAATGTGTATAATACACATTGTCTGTCCACTTGTATTCATGCATGATAACTTGTTTTGGCAGAAAAATTGTCATTGATTAATTACATTAATTAATGTCATTAAATGCACATTTACAGTGACCTTTTTTGTATAGTGTATGTTTGCATGATGATTTTTCATTTATTCTTTTTGAATAAAAATCTTTTCTAAAATATGACACTGAATCTAACATCTCCACATTAACAATGTTATTTTCTATTTTAATAATTATAAATGCATGTCATCTCTGACTGGATGTTTGCTATAACGGTGTATATGGAGAGGTGCTACTGTCATTCCCTTTGTGCGACTCACCAAAACAAAATTATATACAGTCAATGAGTGATAAAAATAAAACTGTTTTTCATGGTGGAGTCTCATCTTTTAATACAACCCTGTGTAAAATGATAAATAAATGAACCATGCAACCTTTCACTTATTTAGTATATAGTATGCATTATGATATATTCTTTATTATTACCACCTGTAAGAGATGAGTTGGCTGCTTGAATGAAGATAACTGGCAACTGATTATAGCCTACATGTAGAAAACACTAATTATGTACTGAATCATTAAAATAAACTCAATGGTAAAGACACAACACCAGTTATCTCTTTACTGGTTGGACTGGTGTGAAATGCCATTTGAAAATGACTGCAAAGGGATGGAATTGACCACAAGAAGGCTCAAAAAGACATACAATAACAACAGTGTTCATTTTATGGCCTGTTGTGGTCAACCTAAAAGAGAGACAAAATGACCACAAAGTGAGGGAAAACAACCACAATGGGATGCAAAAATGACTACAGAAAGAACACAAATTACCACTAACACAAAATGAACACAAAAAGACACAAACAATCACATTGACACAAAATGACCACAAAGAAATGCAAAACAGCAATGCACAGATGCGTCATTTGTAGTCATTATGTATCTCTGTCAGTTTGGGGGTCTTGTAGGAGGAGTTGGGGGTCCAACAAATGCAAATATTAGCCTACATCCAATATTAAACTTCTCTCTGGTACTGAGCTGAAAAAGAGGAGCTTGTATTTCATTGATAACCCAATGAAAAGGTGGCTGCAAATAGCAACAGATGACGTCGACGCCCACTACGTGATTGGCGAAGGTGACGCGCGGGCTGTTGCAACGTCAAACATCGTCCCCATGGTCGTGCCATGCGCACTGACGGTTGTTGTTGTTGAGCTGGTTGTTATGGCTGGACAAGGCCTCGGTCTAAACTGAGAGAGGACCCCCCCTCCCTCCCGTACTACCCCGTCTCCGCTACGGGACACCCGCCACCCATGGAGGGCACGGACATGGACGTGGACGCGGAACTCATGCAGAAGTTCAGCTGCATGGGTACCACGGACAAGGACGTCCTCATTTCGGAGTTTCAGAGGCTGCTGGGCTTTCAGCTCAACCCAGCCGGCTGCGCCTTCTTCCTGGACATGACCAACTGGTGAGTGCGGGGATGCGAGGGCCTGTTGTGGGGGAGCAACATGACGCTAACTTAGCTGTTTAATTAGCTGGTTAGCATGTGTTAAAATGCTAAAAAAAAACCGAGCCTCACACAGAGGTTAGTTGGTGTTGTTTAAAGCCGAGAGGACACGAGAAATGATAGTTAACTCCAAATGATCGTTTCAGGGGCAAACGGAAGTGAAACGTTTAAGTTTGTCCAGATTGTGATCTGTAATAAGGTGAAATAACTGCAAAAGCAAAGAGCACGCTAGCTAACTATCTAGCAGGCTAATTTAAGAGTAGGGAACTCTCATCGTAGATTATCTGCCATATTACATAACAGTCTTCAGAGCCAGTTCAACCGTGCTCTCTGGGAAGACTCAACTCAAGCCAGTCACTTCACGTTAGTCTGATGACGTAACCAGTCGTGATCAACTGCTATCCCCGGCTTACAACAAGTGGTCTCGGTGTCCCTTATCAACTGATATCAAACTTTAAGTTGATCAGTAATCGAGAGGTTTGATGACATCTCATTTTAGGGGAGAACTCCACCCCAAAACAGAAACCACAGTTACTCAAGTTTTTTTTTTGGAGTGTAATGCCATCATATTGGAAAAATGACATCATCAGGTGACGATGACTCGTTCTGATTTTTGTTTTGGTTGAATTCAGAGCTTAGAGCAATAAATCGCTAATGTCGCAAGGATATTTTCTTCTTATTTCTTGCACAGGATGGAGATGTCTGTCTAGAAATCCTGATGCGTTTCGTCTCATGATCAGTTAGTGAGCAGATGAGTCTAAACAATTGGATGAAACTATGATTTGATATCAGCTTTACCAATTGTGGAAACATTACATCCAGTATTGAACCTATGGCATGTCTGTTAATGCAATGCAAAATAAGCCTCTTGGGTATCTTTCAAAACCAAAACTTTTTTTAAAAAGCATATATTCATCTAAATCCTGCTACCAGCTCTGAATTAGTAATGCCCCCAGTATATAATTAAAACATCTATATATGATGTTATTTATGTTCTCCTTCCATCACTTTGGTGTGTACAACTGAGTGCTGCACTGTAAATGCCTTTGAGGACAGACTGATCTAAAATGTGGCCATTTAGAATGGCTATATACACTTTTATTTTCAGATTTGATCGGGCAGCACTTAATCCAATCTAGTTTGTTTGCTTAAAAATCAGGATATCTTGGCCTTGGATGCGTCAGTGTTTTCTGTTAACCAACTTTATAAAGAACAATGCAAAATTGCTGGAGTACTGTTTGTAAATATCTGGCATCTGTTGAATGAAATAGTGCCCCTGCTCTTATTCCCTCAAGAAAATGTTTAATTTCATAAAAATGTATTCATCATACCCGTAACTGTTTCCCATAGCCTGAGTTGACACATTTAAATTACTTGTTTTGTCCAACTAATTTTCCAAAAACCAACAGTATTTTGTTTACTATCATAGAAATTTAACAATATTAATGATGATGATAATAAATAATCAAATTTGAGAAACTGGAACATGGGAACATTTGAGTGTCCATAAAAGTGATGTTTACAGTATATTGTCTCCATTGTTTACTATCTGTTGAGCAGTTATTGAATTTTTCTCACGATGCCTTGTTTGAAAAGAGACTCACAAAATATAACTATGCAATATGTGAATTCTATTTTAGAATTTTTTGTGGATTTTCCTTTTAACTGTCAGTATAAGAAGAGTGGGCTGTCATATTTGATTAAGTAGTTAAGTAGTTTGTGAGGAAGCAGATCAAAAAGACTGTCCATCACCTGGAGAGACCAGGGTTCAGCCCCCCTGACTCAGCAAGTATTGGTTTATATTGTAATGGCCAGGATTACTTGGGTAATGTCAACTCTTGATAATGTGCTTCTTTTTTTCTGTTCGAACAGGAACCTTCAGGCTGCTATTGGTGCATATTATGACTTTGAAAGTCCCAATGTCAACACGCCATCTATGTCCTTTGTTGAAGATGTGACAATTGGGGAAGGAGAGTCTGTTCCTCCAGATACACCATTCACAAAGACCTGGAGGATACAAAACACAGGTATGGAACACCTCGCAAATCTTTATGCAATATGTGCCATGACACAGTCATGGTGTTGAACTAGGTTTTGATTGAACCCATCCTTGTATGTTACAGGTGCAGAGTCGTGGCCGCCTGGAGTTTGTCTCAAGTACATTGGTGGGGATCAGTTTGGGCATGTAAACACAGTTATGGTGAAGTCCCTAGATCCCCAGGAAATATCAGATGTGAGTGTGCAGATGCGAAGTCCCACAACTCCTGGCATGTACCAGGGTCAGTGGAGGATGTGTACAGCCACTGGGTTATTCTATGGAGGTAGGAAAAAAGTGATTTATTTAATTTTGTTTTAATAATTAGGCGATTTATTAGGGCTGCAGCTTATTTTAATTACTCTATTAATCTATGAAGTTATTTGCTTTACGTTTGCAAATAACTTTCTTTGAGCCCAATGTGAAGTCCTTAAATTGCTTGTTTTGTCTGACCAACAAAAAAAATATGCAATTCATCATCATGTAACACAGAAAAAAATCTGCATATTTGTATCTTGTGTGAATCATAAAGTCAGCCCATGTTTGTATGTGCTCCTTGTCTTCACAGATGTAATCTGGGTGATTCTTAGTGTAGAAGTTGGAGGTCTCCTTGGCGTGACCCAGCAGCTCTCCTCCTTCGAGACAGAATTCAACACCCAACCCCAACGGAACGTGCAGGGAGACTTCAACCCCTTTGCCTCGCCACAGAAGAACAAGCACGACGCCACCGACAACAGTTTCAGAGATCCTGGCGGGGCCTGGGAACGCACACAAGAGCCAATCCAGCAAGATCAAAATGGACTGTCTCATAATGCTGTTAATAGGGCGTCAAATGGTCTTCAAACTAATCTTTCTGTGGTGACTTACGGTCAGGTATGTATGCATCAAATTTAAGATTTTATACCCCACAAAATTAATCTCCACTCAAAACTGTACCACATGATTACATGTGTCATCCTATGGCACCATACTTCAATTACAAGACATACAAAAATATATGCATCCATTCACAGTATACATGCCCTATGGCTGATGAGATACATCATCTGCTTCCTTTAGGGGTGACCCCATATAATTGACTGATTGACTTTAAGGTTTTTAAATATTATCTGTTTGGCTTGGAGGAGATTTAGTCGAATGTGCTTTGACAGTAAAACGTGATTCTTCCTTGTGCAGCCTTTTGTGAAAGCAAAGGGTGACTAGCGGTGCCCTGGCTCTTGAAGTTCACCACAAGAAGTGCCACATTTTAACACATGTCATTTAAAATACAAAATATATGCTAATAATCTCAGACTCAGACATGTTTTCTAACAGTATTGTATACTATTGTGTGATATTTTGTGAAACACTATTGCTGGCTTGGTTAAATATATCTAGTTTTTTTTTATTTGTTTATTGTAATTATTTGACTAGTTGTAGCGTAAAACAAGACTAATGTTTTAAGTTGCTGCTGGACCCTGGAAACTGTGATGTTCATCCCACAGCACAAAGTGAAAGTGTTGGACAGAGCTGCTATTGTCACATTCTGTTCATGTTTGCCTAGAACTGTAAAGTTTGGCCTGAGGGTGGTTCCTGCAGGAATTTCGTGGAGTCATTTAAATCAGAAGTGTTTTTCCCTTTTTGATCATGAATGTGCTCAGCTAGTTTAATGGCAATCTGCCTTTGACATAATAAGATATGTTGTGTGCAAAATTAAAATTTTGGCCTGAGGGTTGCTTTGAGTATAAGGGAGTTTCATTCTTTAAAGAGCATAAATGTGCTCAGTCAGTTTCATTGTAGTCTGTCCATTAGATTTTGATATTTCTTGTCAATAACTAGAGATTTTGGCCCAAAGGAACTGGAATTGGTCAACCTTTAATTACTTCAAATATCCATTCACATTTAATGCCAAATTAATATAAATCTGCTCAAGTGTTGGTCCAGGAAAGTTCAAGGGGTCAACAACATGATTAAGGGATTGTTTATATCCATACCAATTAATTTCTCTGAAGTTTGTTTGGAAGCTATGCAGTTGGAGGAGTTTCTGAGATAAAGTTGCTGTCTTAAAATTGTATTGTAATAAGGTGCAACTGAAGGAAAAGCGCTTGGAACAGAGATGAGGAACTCTAATGATAGAATCAATTTCAGTTTGACTGTAGAGTACAGCATATTGCACAATGTGTAACCACCTGGCTTCCGGTAATAAGGGAGCAAGTACTTTCTCTTTAATATTTATTCTCATGTAATGAATACGATAGTTGGTTAGTAAAGTTTTAGCAATGCTAGTGATTTACCTCTAAGTCTCTTCATTTGGCCGAGAGTGAAATATCTGGACAGAAAGAAATGGGATGCCATGTCGGCCATGGTCTCCCAGAGAATGAATTTTAATCTTAATGTCAATCTTATCATCCAGGGGCAATTTCCACTTGTCTAACAATTCTGTAGTGAAAAGTATGGCTCCAGAACGAATCAAATTCCTCACCTTCAAGTCAACCTCAGCTAGACTTTGTGATTACTGCTAAAATGCTATGTTGCCAGCATACTTAACATTACTTTCTAAATGATAGCATGTTAGTAATTAATAAGATAGGTTCACAGTTTTTTTTAAGTCTGTCTTAAAACAATAGCGAGTGATTAGAGAAAACATCCACTGTCCTAATTCTGTGTAAGAATACCATCCAAAGTGTATCTGAAGCCAGTGTGAGGCCTCAGCTGTCTGAGTTAGACAAATCAAGTGGGAATCTTAGTTGTTAGTGTTCTTTGTACAAGAATCTCCATTGTGTTGCTGTCCTGCAGCCCTCGCTCAGTAAGTCGTAACTGTCTGGGGAAATACAAAGGGGGATTTCATGATAAAACACAATAAGATAAGATATCCAGTTGATCTGATTAACTCAGAGCTGAAGCCTCATTAACATTAAAGCGCTAGGAAATCTCTCAATTGCCAGTATGAACAGGAGGAACAGTTACAACAAGCTAATCCTGTTTCAATGTTAATATGAGCACCTGGCTATTGTTTTAAGACAGACTCCAAAACTTGTGAACCTACCCTTAAAGATTCCCAAAATGTTCTCATTGTGAAGAGGATAGACAATTTCCACTGAGGTAACAAAAGTGCCTTTCCCTTGACACCATTTTTTTTTTTGCCCCTATAGTGGTAAAGAGCTGAGAAAAGCAAAGTCATCTCTTAATTTCTTGTTCATTTACCAGTTGTGTAATTATCATTTCAGCCAAATTATGCTGCTAGTGTGGCTATAGACTTGAAGCCTTGTTAAAATAATATCAGAGGTGACATGTGATGTGACCACCACGTGAGTATTGCTACTATTCAGCTGTGCATTTCTTATATTGTTGATTCATTGTGACATGCATCAGAAAAACTCTGGCCATAGCTTTTTTAAACAAAAGTTCTGACCTCTGTTGAGGAAAAGTCCTTCATCACTGCACCTTCTTGTCAGTGTAACAACTCATTAACTCAGTTGAATCACCTGAATCTCTTAGGTGGGGCCACATTGTTGTTACATTACACAGTAGTGACATCTCACTCGCCTGTCCTGGGTGGTAAAACTGGACTGTTGAGAACCACTTGTCAGGGCAGTCAGGGCATTCAAATAAATCATTAATTCAAAAGGACATTGACTGAGCTGCTTCCTACAAGTACCACTGCTACTGCCCTGAACTTGATGATGACAGCAGATAGCGGCACAGCTCTTACATACATACACACTCTGAAATTTTTCACAGGCATCTACTGTGTTGTAATAAAAACATTTCAGCTATAGACTAATACCTGTTCCCTCGTTTTTCTTTCTAGGGTATTCACGGACCCTATCCATTTGGACAGAGCTAGAATGACAAAGACCCCCCCATGGTGGATGATGAGCTGAACACCCTGGGAGTCGTTAAATGTAGAGGAGTTGGAGGGGGGGAGGAACAGTTGTTTTATACTGACTCATGACGACCCTCTCCCCAACCCATGGCCCTTTCCACAGAAACACAAATTACAGTGAAGTGACGGATTACATCTGCTACAGTGAAACATCCCACCTGACATCAACACCCGGATTCGCATGTGTGAATGCTTCATTTACGAGTGCTATAAACCCTTAAAAATAGATACACACAACTATTTTTATTTCCACTGTAAAACACAACTAATTAAAGGGAAAATCAACCCTAAACAATCTACATACAGTTTGGTATTCCCATGGGCAATTGTTCTCTTCAGGGTTCCTACACAGATCTGAAAATTGTTGGAGCACAGTACAAAACTTAATAGTGATCATAGATAATTTTGAGGCCTTAAAAAAAGACACAGAAGAAATGTGGGATGTATGTTTTATATGGAAAAAAAAGTGTAATCTTGTATTCCTCACACCAAATAATTTCTATTAGAAGTGTGTGGAGTATTTCCAAACTCCTCTAAATGACAGCCTTACACTGGTTTCACACACAAATCTGGTGAATAGTGTGGGATGTTAAGCAATCAGCGAGACCTCCTGTACCAGCCACTTGGTCACAGATAAATACAGCAGTTCACAAAAGACCACTACAGAATTGTTTTAGATCTTGGATAAGTCGTCGTGCTTTTGCTGCATTCCCATACAGTATATACATCTTGCAAGCATTCACAACATCTACCAGTATCAAGTCAGAAGAATCAGAGCTGTCAGAAAAGTCTGAATCTTCAAGTCGTTATTACGAATTAGATGTTGACTTGAGCGCTATTTACAAGTTTGAAATCATGGTCGGTATTAACAGGTCTGTTGAGTTTTGGTGTCTGGAGGAGTTATTGCTGAAATTTTTCTTTTATGATTTCAGGTCCAACAATCTGATATACATGGATTACTGGATTTATTTTATTCAGTCTCACAAAGGTTCAAATCACTTGTCATCTAGTCCAAAAAAGACAACTGGTGTTCACCCTTTCAGACTTGAACCTTAGTTGCTGACCCAGATCACATGACACTGATGCACGTGTTTGCTGCAGCCTGTAAGAGGAATTTTTTTAATTACACTTAAGCGTTTGTCACTCTACATATTTCACTATTTGCCCTTTTTGAGAAAAACTGGCTGTCACACCCAAAAACAACACTCTAAATAGTTCCAGTGTTTCCTGTGATACTTCCACAACATTTATTTCATAAAACAACTTTACATCTCTGTGTGATTTAAGTAAAACATAATTCCATACCAGTCATAGCTGAAAGAAGTCTTAGTGTTCTTCTTTAGTGTATTAAAGACGAGGGTAAATTCCTTAAATTTTTGCAAAAGAAATATGGATGATCCCTGTGTAGGAACCCCATCTCTCCCAAAGATAAAGTCCAGAGAACCAAGACACTAATCTGTGCTGTCATAAAATGACACAGTCTGCTGGTGCTTGATTCAGACTGCATGGGACAATGTGTGTGTGTGTTTGTTTTTTTGTTTTTTTTAGGGTGGGTTTTCGCTTTAATTAGATGCTGAAGCGCAGAAGGATGCAAGTGAGTTTGAGCCAGTGAGGTGTGAGGAAGGGTTGAAAAAGCCATCTAAATCTATTTTGCCTGGTGAGTGACTGTAGTTTTTGAGTCCATGTCTACAGTATGTGTACTAGATATATATATGTATGTGTGTGCGTGTGCGTGCGGCTGTGCATGTATGTTAATGGTTTCTTTTTGGATTTAACTGACATAACAATGGTGTATACTACTTGGGGAAAGGATGACGTGTCTATTCACACACACATCAATACTGAGAGAGCTTTACTAGGTGTGTACCTCTGAAGTATTGTTGAGCAATTCTGCACCGTTTGGACGAACTGACTCACTAATTGCCCTGATGTTATTTATTTGCTGTCATATTGTGCATTGCAGATGCAAAAAGTCCCATTTACAGCCAGCAGGTGGTGCTAAAAATCAAATGACCAACTTAAACTTGCCTTGATATACTGAGTACATTGTGAAGAAGAGGCGATGAGTTGTAGTTGGATGGTAGCAAGTCAATTTGAATATGAAAATTAATGGTTTGCATCAGCATTATTAGCACTGATGTTCTGTTACTGCTATTTGCACAACACTGTCCACCACTGCTAATGACGAAAAGTAGTGATTTTTGACCTATTGTGTGGATTCTTTTTCCAGTAAGTTTCATTGGTTTGTTTTGCTAATCTTCTCGACCCAAAATGCCTATGTTCTTCAGAGCTTTAAGTTTTGTTATTAAACATCACTTTCATCGCTGCACCAGTGTCTGATCTTAAAAAAAATAATACTGATTGAATTTAGGTTTTGCATATCTGCAAATGAGTTTGTCTGTTGTCACACCTGAGTTTTTACTTAAGTTTTGTTATGTTCATTATGTCAGACAATGGATTTGATTATGTATTTTGGCTTAAAAATAAAATGGAAAAGGTTTGTTGATAGAACTCCATGATAGTGTTACAGTTTTTTCTAAGGTGGTATTTCATTCAAACTGAATTAATTGTAGTTTTTTATAGTTATATTTATAAGTTATCAGACCTCCCAGTTCTATTATGAACGTCTACATGTTATTTTTTTTACATTTAGAGTTCATTGCCTCTATGCTCATGTGTACCTGTTTGTAAAATTCACCAGCATTCTGTGTTGCAGCGGTTTTGTATTTGTGCTGAGAGTCAGCTGAAAGTTCTCCCAAACAGTATACACTGTTCTGCATTGCTTCTTTCAGTCACGTCAGTCTTTTTTTTTCTGTGTGTGTGTGTGTGTGTGTGTGTGTGTGTGCGTGCGTGTGCGTGCGTGTGCGTGCTTCCTTCTTGTGAGCTTGCTTGTGTGTGTTTGTGTGTGTGTGAGAGGTGTTGAGGAAATCTAAATATTGCTGGATTCATTCTCTAGTTTTAGTTTGTGACTATGTATGGACTTGAGATGGGTGGCATGGTGAGTGGATGAGATGAAAGTTTACATAGTCCTAAAATAGCACATTTATCTGAAGAGAAATTGTCAAAATAAAGCTTTTTTTTCTCCCTGTATCTATAATTAAGCATTTGTATGATTAAATTAACACTGAAACAATGAATAAGTTGTCTTTTTTTGATGAGGGCAAATACCAGCTTTGTATTTTACCTGTTCTGCCCCTTAAACTTTAAATTATACCAGGTTCTTCCTGTATCATCGAATTATAAAGCTCTAGTGTCAGCAGTCAGGTCCACACCCATGGTTTCAATCGGTCCTGTGCCACCTGTCAGAAAGAACAGCCACAATTTCAACCTGCAGGTTTAGACATGCTGTGTGGGCCATCTGCTATTTGATGGTTTGGCATGAAGATGAGCACAGATATCCAAACTTTTCCTCAAGCACCAGCAGCAGGCTGACATTTCTGGCTTTTAGTGAAATTTCTTGACAGATCTGAGATGGACTGTTGGGACATCTGGTACAGATATTCATGGCGCCCAGGAATCCTACCGGCCTTGGTGATCCCTGTCCTTCTTCCATCAGCAGGTCAAAGCTTTCACTTATTCTGTGAAAAATTCTCATGATCTACTTGATGGACTGACACAAACTTTGGTACAGCGGTGCAGATGATGATTTTTTTTTTTTTGTGAATTGTCTTAACAAAAGACTAATGGATTTCCATGTAATTTCTTATAGATATCCATGGTGCCCAGGTAATGTAGGCCTATACTTATGATTTTGGTGAACCATTAGTGATTTCTCCAGCACACCGTGAAGTTGATGTTTTTGGTTTTGAGTTAAATGCCCTGTGACTGTATATATAGTAGGTGTCATTTAATGTAAATCAGGTAGTATAAGAGCCATTCAATTTTTTTCTGACTCATTCTCTTTCCTTCTGAGAAAGATTTGTTTATTTTTAGACTAAACAATGAGGAACACACGACTAGTTCTACGACTACACTTTTAATAAATGTGGCAGATCTTTCATCTTTCCATCAGCTAGTGTCACTGTGGGGCTATATGAGCTAAATGCTAACGTCACAGGCCACAATTCTCACAATGCTAACATATTAATGTATAGGAAGTACAGTGTTTACCATGTTCACCACCAATTAGCACTAAACACAAAACTGCTGCAGAGTCTGATGGGAATGGGATTTAGTCATAAACTAAGCTATTAAATAACCTGATGAGAAAAGTTAACCAAAATTATTATAATTCATCCTGAGGGGGATGTGAAAATGAGCACCAAATATCAAAGCAATCTTTCAATGAGAAATAGTCAAAAGTCAAGACATTTCACCAAAAACCACAAATGTGAGCCTCATGGTTGTGCTGGAGGAAAATTCAGGGGAACACCATAGTCGATAGGATTCACCCTCTGGGGAACATGAATGATTGTACACGCTTGCACGACAATCCCTCCAGTAGTTGTAGAGATATTGCAGTCTAGACCAAAGTGGTGGACCGACAGACCTACATTGCCATCCACAGAGCCATGCCGCCAATAACCACATTATAAGATAATTGATGAATATAACATCTACGTATTCATTTACAATGGTTGGTGATAATCTCCGTTACAGTTCTTGGCTGATGGAGGAAAGAACTGTTAACTTTTTACTGGTACTCAGACTTCCTTGATACCATCCATACAAACAGTATCAGATATCAGTCGATCATACCGGTACAACCCGGAAGATACACAAACATTTCAACAGAAGTGTCAGCAATAAAAGAAGTACATGCCAAAATATTCAAGTTCCTCTGAATTTGTTACCTTTATGATCACTAGTTGATCTTTCTGCGGAAAACTCATGTCTCATATGTCACAAGCTCCTGCAGGCCTTTTGGAACTGATAAAAATGAATGAACAAAGATTCATATTGATGTTATTTGCTGACCCTTTTAACCTTTTAAATTCAGGGATGAGCCTCAGGGTGCATACTGTAATACAGGTTTACTGTATTTGTGTGTGTGGGTGGGTGTGATGTCTGTGACCATGCAAACAGAAAGCACTGAAGCAATTACTTGTATGGGGCTTGTGCAGACTTTGTGTGGCAGGGTAACTGACTAAAATATCTAATGAAGATGTAGTTACTACAAGACTATGTGGGAAATGCTTGAAGCAAACTGAAATGTCTAATTTAAAAATCTGTTCCTCTGATCCTTATCAGTCAACATTCAAATATGTCTCTTCATACTGTCTTGCCCCTGGCACCAAATAGGCACTGTACATGCATCACGACACAGCGGTGATATTAGATTTTTCTCCCTTAAACCAACCACTAAAGATCAAATATATATAGAATACTCGCATTTACTCATTCAATATAATAGAAAAACTGTACAGTGTGTCTGAGGGGTCAAGTAGTACAGTCAGAGTAGGAGACAGGAAGCAGACGTGTGTTTTCATACACCATCTGGTTGATAGAGTTCCTACTGCCTTGGAGATATCACTGTGATTAGATTAAGGATTTTATTTGTCCTGGTGGGAAATGTAGGCATCATAAACTAGGAGCAACGTCAGCCAAATGTTTTGTAATGGGATGGCTAAGAGCATTGCGAGCACAACGGAAGATCAATCACAGATCTACTCAAGTTAAAGATGAGACACTTCAGTGAAAACAATACCGCATAACAAGCACATTGTTAATGTTCATTATAAAACAGTCATTCACAGATTTTAAGTGTTGTAGCCTATCCTGTTTTATAAACTCAATAGCAATCTGAACCTGTTATAGTTCTGCAATATACTGCATAATGTTATCAGATGATCACAAGTTTTTATCTGTCAAGTATTAACTGTAGTGATGTTTATCCATCAGAGAGGAAGTATAAAATCCCACAAGATAAAAAAAATACTCAACTAAAGTAATTAAAGTAGCTCAGACATTACAATAAAAGATGCACTAACCAATATTTTCACAATAACAATGACATGCCATATAAAAGTGTGATGAACCCACAGAAAATAATGACCAGTCTGACCCACAACTTTACCATTTTGGTTCACTCTCACGGGTACACTACCTGCTCATGCACCAAACTGCAGACAGATGAAGTTAGTGACTAGCTGGAGAATTTAGCTGCTAAAGAGACAGATATTTATATCAGGAGTTAGAAGAGACCAAAACAGAGCTAAAAGAAGAGTAAATATTGGACTTAGATTCATCAGGTGTGCAGAGGCATGGCTCCAAATGAATGTCAATGTTGCTCTTTGTCTGCTGGCCGTGTAAATAGGCAGCTGTTTGCTAACAAGTTCAGCATAGCAACCTCATACTTGAGTCAAGATGCATGTGTTAATGCATTGCACATTATCAGGGGCCTGTGTTTCTGTCTTCTTGGAAAAGTAAATGTGAAATGTTAAACATGTTTGACAGTTTTTCTTTAACTCACCAGTTAGTGAGTGAAAGCAACTTTTAGCACCAGAAACTAATCTCCTAATATCAAATATCCCGGACTATTTTCAGTCCCAAGATCAGTGAAGAAGCTGCTCACATGTAGTAAGCAGTGAGTGTACTGGGTGTCTTAATGCAATGTCTCAAAATATAGAGGCAGCTCCAGACAGAGTTTACTTTGGATCGGATCCAAATAACATCAAAAACCTGTTCTGTAATCTTTGCCTTAAAGCCCCCCCAAAAAGGTGTGAACTCTTTGCTCTGCCTGTTTCACTTTCTACTTAACTACAAAATGATGAGCACTTACTTCCATATGGGTAAACCCTGTGAAGTCCTGCATGAACATGACACCTGCAAAGACAGTTAAAAGTGGAATAGAAATATAAAAGTGCTTCCTCCTTTCTGTCCATCAAGTGTTGGTGGATACGGATGCATGTTGGGTTGCATGGGCTGAGACAACTCTGAAGTTAGTGCATTACTCTCTGAAGTGGCCTTCTGCATTTTGAGGTGAGGTGGACCAGCTCTAACTATGACTCCAGATATCCTTTCACTAATCAATAAACCTACTTCAGCATGATGTTTTTTTGTTTTGCATGTTATCAGTTTAATGCAGGATGCTACTGCAAATCTCCATGTGGATTAAGCTGTTGGTCAAAAGGGCAGCAGCGGTATCTTTCATCAGCGCTTCTGGCATTGAGAGTCTGGCAACAAAACAGAAGAGACTGTGCTTTCTGGACGTTTCTATTCCTGCGTGCAGCACCAGCCTCACACCACCTACTGGTTCAGTTGCTTCAGGATTGTTTTGCTGACACAGTGCTCTGCTTTGGTGACGTGCAAAGTTTCGATTCAGTAAAAGCTTGACTGCTGTGTAAAGAAATGGAAAAAGAGACAAGCTTGAAGAAATGTAATTTAACAACCTAACAGAGTGAACATGATTTGAAGCTTACCTACCTTACCTTTTACTCATGTTTAAAAGAATACCATTGCAGTGGAAAATATAAACCAACCCAGTAACATAAAACTGCATAAAGAATTGAATTTGACTGTGCTGGCACTGTCAATCAAACAAACCTGATTAACATTTTCAATAGCAGAATATGACACACATCTCCAGCTGCAGTAATTGTAATGGCTTTAGTGTTCCAACATATTCCACCAAACACAGCCATATACAATGTGTAATAACCATAATATAACCCACTGCAAAATCTGAGCTTTAAATGTAGCAAATATAAAATGAAAATTAGTCATAGGAGTTAATCAAGGAAGAAAACATCAATACTTCAACACATGACAGACTTCACTGTATATTACAGCCATGAGTGAACATGGATGTCAGAAGACTAAAACGATTGATAGGCACTATTTGTTTTTAGGCTGATTATAATAAAAGTGTCTATAATTGTATTATACATATATATATTCTTTTATAAAGCAATGGATCATAGTTGTATATGAAAGGTGTCACAGGTCATGAACCAACAGAGAATTATCATTTGGCTGTGCAGTTCCCATCAGCTCTATGGAGATTTTTAGCCTCATTGTTTTAGTTTTATAGCCCACAAATGTGTTATTGTGGTTCTCTCTCACTGCTCTCATCAAGTTCTAAAAGTCCACTGTGCACACTACCTGCCCAGCACCAAAAGGTTGACAGACTGGCCTGTGAATATAATGGACCATTTAGCAGCTAAAGAGTCAGATATTTTTCTCAGGAGTTGGTGGAGACCAAAATAGAGCTAAAAGGAGACTTAATGTTGGAGTAATTGTACATTCATTGGGAAACTCAGCATAAAAAGCCAGAAACACAACTCTACAGGAATGGTGATATGGCTGTGTATTCGATGTCCACCATCTCACTTCTATGTTGGCTCTTCTGCTAGTATTGGTAATGACCAAGCTTCACCCATGTGCAGGTCAAAAACACAAAAAAAGTCTTGGATTAAAACTTTCTGCCAATTCATTTCATGTCTGTTTCTTCTCAGCTTGAGCTTCTATGCCTCTTCAGTGCTTCATTACATAACATCCCACACCATCTTTTGCCCTTGCTGTTGGTTTTCGCACATCTGCAGGATCAGACATGCCTCTGCAGCGCTAACTGTTTTACAAGCAGAATAATACCTTGTCACGCTGCCAGGCTGATCATGGGAAATGGACCGTAACTTGACCTAATAACTGTCCTTGTGAGGATTAACAGCGGTTGAATGCATAGCTGTTGACAAACCTCTCTCTGTTTCCAAGAAGAAGTAATTTAATATGGCGCCATTACTCACTGTTACACTGTTGAAGTGTTTTTAGTTGCACTCAACAAATTAGGCCTTTATTGTGAAGCCTGCCTCACATGTGGTAGTACAAGTAAGTTGTATTATATTTTTCCAAACTGACTAAGAATTGATTTTCCGTTTGTTTATTCCCCCAAAATAGTCAAAAGAGCTGTCGTAAAATAAGAGAAGGAACCTCACCTCATATTCAGATGATATGACACTTATTCACTAAAGATGACACTGAGGCCAACTACTGGTGTTTGTTGACTTTGCTAAGACACCTCAGGTGGATCACTGACATCTGCTTACAGTGGGGACACCTGCACAATCATTACTCATATCAAGATCACAGTGTCCCAATTGTGACTTCTTATTTGAATTCCACTCTGTTAGCTTCCTTTAGTGCATTGTCTTTCAACCATGAGAATCTTGTTCTGGAGCCAATGAAAAGGTCAAATACTAGTTGAAGAAACTGCCATGCAAATTTTGCTCATGGAGTGGATGTGGGTAAAGCCAAAAGCAAACAGACGTTTTCTCGTCATAGATATCTGCAATTATTTTTTATATATATGAGCAAACACATTTAAGATATTACAGTATATTCAGTTTTAATAACAAGCCAATTAAATTGTGTACCATGTCCTATATTTTCAGTTTGAATGTGTACACATGCTACACAAACATATGCATACACCATACTCTTCACTCATTCTGTATGTATGAAACACTCACATGCGTTCATGCATAAGCACGCACGCAGGTACACACATTCATATCCAATTTCATGCCGAATTGTCCAATGAAAGGAGCTGGTCATCGCTCACGGTTTGATTTGGTGTGTCTACAAACACTCAGCTCCTAAGAAGTCTTGACGCAGTTTGTGCACACCCTCTCTGTATCTCACAATTAGTCCATTCACACTGTGGCGAACCATATCAAACTCACAGCTCCTGCATAGGAAATGGAAGAATAGAAAACAAGTCCTGGACCTGAAAAAGAAAAAGAAACTTTAAGCTTTAGTGTGTGCTATCAGAAGACTGGCCATTTAGCAACTTACATGGTGAATTAATAGAGAGATTAGAGGGGAAAGATTAGATAAACAGTCGTCTTAGAGTACCTTTATTGTTGTGGGTGACCACCGTTTTGCTAATTTTCTTTCAAAGCCTTTTCACAAACATTTGTTATTTCTTTGCTTTTGACAGAGCCACATTGTTCAAACAGGCTTAAATTACGTAATGCCCCCCCCCCCAAAGGAAACAGTTTTTTAAACTACAATGCATCACTGTGCAGTCGGCAAACAGAAATACACAGGCTGTATTTGTGGTTAAGATTCACTAGCTCTAAATAAAGGGGAATAATGCCTGTTTCAGAGGTGAGATGTGGTGCTGACGACAGTTTCTCTGACCACATAAAAGTCAATATTCGTGCTAATATATGTGCTTGATTTCTTTAGGTCTTATTGTTAGTCATGATATCACACATGCTGAAATGCAACTGAAATACAGGCACTTTCTTACATACATGTTGCAGAGAAATAACTGTAAAGGAGACAAAAAAACAAAGGAAACGTATCAATCCATAGTCTCATAGACTTTATAATGTAACATAAATGTCATAATGTTAAAGATAAAACTGAAATTCTCAAGTACTCCTTATTTTTGAATCAAACTACATCAACAAAATAATAATAAAATAAGTCCTGAAAGTTTTCTCTCCATCTGCTGATGAAGACTGTGTGATATGGTCAATGTGTTCATACTTGAAAACCAATGAAAACAACATGATTCGACTTCCCCAAATCATGTCTTTGTTTTCACTTTATCTATGTAATATTGACACGTATCCATGTATATTCATTGATTATGGGCTGGATTTTACGCTATAGGCACCAGAGTGACTGAGCTCAGCTGATGACAGCAGAGAAATAGATCGAGTTGCTCAATGGTTTGAATACTTTCTTTTTTTTTTTCCAATGTTAAAACTTGTCACTGTTTCAAAATGACCACAGTGACTATGAAGGGTGATGAATGTAAGTCAACAGGGGACCATACTTCACCACATTTAAGAGGGGATTATATAATTAGCTATAAAAACACATATAATTGCTATTTACTTTGGACTGTAAAAGTGCCCAACAGTATATAAAGCAGTTAATTTTATCTCCACCTCCATCAGCCACATTATTAAAAGCCAGGCACACCCTCTGGTGTTTTGACTTACACTGCTCAGCCCTCAGGACAGACAGCAGCACTGATGGTGAATGGATTATCTTAGTGAATAAAACAAAACAAACACACACTTTAGAAAGAAATCTCTTTATTAATCTCTGTCTATTAAGACAGACTGTGAACCTTTTCTTTCAGTATAAGCTCATAATGTGGCTGCAAATGATCCACATTATAAGTTAATACTTAAGTCACGAGTCACTCTTTATCTTAAAGTTTCCTTGACAAATATTAGTAACTTAAGTGTGAAGTGATTAATGTTTTTCTCATATTGTCTAAGCAGCGGCTCCATCTGTTTATTACCTGTAGCTGCAGGTCACCTGAGTCTGCCTCTGCACTGTGAAACCAGCATGTGGAGAAACGCACAAACTCCAAAAAGTGATGATTTAAACCTGGACAGGTTGGTGGAAGATGTACTCAGATCCTTCCCATTCGCAAAAGTACCAACACCATAATGTAAAAATACTCCATCTCAAGTCCTGCATTCAAAATCTTACTTAAGTAATAGTAACAGTAATATCAGCAAAATAAAAAATAAAAAAAAACTAATTCTGCAGAAAAAAGACTGTATATGACATTGTTAGATGTGTAAGTTGAGTTAATTTTAACTACCTCATGTACAGTCAGTTCACTACAGGGGTTCCTCACCTGTTGGTCGGGCTCCTCCAGAGGGTCACCGGACAAATCTGAGAAGTTGTGAAATAATATGTTTTATGATTTTTAATGTAAAATCTTAATCTGAAAAGTAACATGTATAGCTATAGCTCTCACATAAATATACTACTCTACGACTACTACTAGGATAAAGTAATGAAAATATTCCTCAAATATGTTTTTCAGTACTTGATTAAAATGTTACTCAGTTACTTTCCACCACCGCACCTGGAAGCATTCAGCTGTGAAGCAAGAGTGGTAACTAGAAAACCTTTCATTTTCTCGTAAAGTTTTTTTTCAAAGTGATAAAACTCTTTAGTCTCTTATCGCTTTGAATTGTCTGTCACCTAAGCTGTGAGGTCAACTAGTAGTGTTTGAGGAGGTCTGAACTAATCTGCAAGACACATGGCACTTCAGAGTCAGACACACACACACACACACACACACACACACACACACACACACACACACACACACACACACACACACACACACACACACACACATGCACTGGGTTGTGTGCATAAGTAAACACAACTTCCCTATAAATATAAATTGCAGTCAATGGTGCTGGAATTCCTTTGCACTCACTCACCCAGTCACTTGCCCTGGCTCTTTCTCACTTTGTACACACCCCCAGCAGGTGCTTTCACTACAGAGTTTAGTTTGCAGTTGTGCTTTAGGCTGTGACTTCCAGGTTAATTGTAATTCTACCAAAAAGCCTGGGAGGGTCCGAGGCCTCGGACTGGGGGCTTTGTGACAGTCATCGGGGGGGGAAACAGATTTAAAGGTGCCTTCTGTCTGCAGCACCTCTGTCCTCAAGTAGCACCCGGGCGTCCCGTCTGAGGCGAGGGTTGATCAGAAACGGGACAAAAGTTCATCTTTGGTCCTGAACAGAACCAGAGCTGTATTGCATCTACCGTCATCCAGTGAAGTCTCTACCTCTGGCCATCAGAGCATCTTTGTCTCGGTAAGAAGACCCTAACTTACACAATGTCTAACATGTCTGATGTGTGACTTAAGAAGAAATATAGTGTTTATTTTCTATTATTATTATTATTGTTATTTAAAGGATGAAATGACTCCAGGTGTATTTTCATACACACATTACTGTAAACATTTTAATAGCACAGATGTCCAACTTTTCTATTACTGATGTTGATAATACCATCATCTTATCTTCCAGAGAAAATAAAAGGCATCCTCTGTGCAATTGAATTAATGTATATATAAAGCAATATAAATAATCTGATCTATGGCCAGAACTTTGGTTAGTATTCAGTTTCACAGTTAGGAACTTCAGTTTTAACAGAGTGAACAGACTTCAGCTTCACCACTGAGTATCAAGAACAACACAAGACAGTTGTTAGAGCAGATTTAAGAAAATACAGAAAGTTTGAAAACACAAAAATGTTAAGTTGTCACGCTTAGTTTTGCAGTTTTGCTTGGTCACAGCAATAAAGAAGACAACTGGGTTTAATGTCATTGGTAAGTTGACAACTATAACTTTGATTGAAAACAAAAGCATATCAGTGCAAATCCTCCTGTTGACAGATTGGACCCAGAGATGGATGAAAAGCTTATATTATTCATGCTATTCATTTTTGTTTCCTTTGTGTTTGCCCTGTATCATAGTTACACTTACCTGTTTTTCTTGTTTCTGTATATGTGAAATTGCATATTAGCTTTCACTCAGAAAGATAAAAAAAAAAATGTGGTCAAGTTTGAGGGGTTGTTGGTGGTTTCAGACCAAAAACCACAATGATAATGAAAAGATTTGTCACTGATATCCAGCATAAGGTGGTGGATTGAATTGTAAATTTGATTAACAGAGGAAAATAAATACAACATTCAGAACTAGCAACGCAACTTCTTCAGGGCAATCTGGATGCTACAGTGACTCGGTATTGGCAAAAGACATGTTTGGCACGTTAACTTTAGTGGAAGAGGGTTGGAGACAACTCTAGGGCGAGTAAAGGAATGAAGTTTGATGCTCAATTCACAACGTTTCTTCTAGACTGGTAAGTAAACAGCTGTTAATGCCAGCATAAGCGATGTAGAAATAGCAAAACTTACAAAGAGTTCCTTTAAGCCAGATTTATAGTCCACACAAGGCGTTAACGTGAGTCCCACTGCAGGCAACTATGGCAAACAATTTGATTTATAGTTGATAATTGTAACACAGTGACTGTGTTTACATTCGTTCATGTACTTTGTGACACAGTGAGCTATGGTCAGCGTTGTGCAAGTTCACACTTCATAATAGCTAGTTTAAAGTTCAGTTCACACAGATTAAAAGGTTTTCCCAATTACATTGTGGTGACAAACATAATTGCCGGCTGGATCGTGTTCAGAGGCAACATCTTATTGAATGAATTACAGCATTACGTTTCCTTCTAAATGTATTTTATATTGCAAATAAGTTGTAAATTTGTTTGCTATTGACATATTTTTGTGTAACTTTTGAAGCTACAATTTAAAACCTGCTCTTTCTAATCTTCTCACAATCAGCAGTTTGGATCCAGCTGCACCAGCACATGCCTTAGGCTCCATAGTGAGAGTCTCCATATCTTCACTATCTCTGCAATTTCTCTGCATAAAAAAAGCTGGTGACAGGTTTATTTGTTCCATCTGGACAGGTTATAACACCAATCTTCAGGTCCAATCAATTGTAAAGTTTATCATCTGCATCATTAACTGTAAATACAGCTCTTTGTCAAAATTAATTAGTACCAACAGCAAAAACATTTGAAATGTTTTAGTGATTCCTTAGATATTGGTCTAATGCCAGTGCACCTGACTAACAGTAGAAATTAATCACCCAGTGTCTCAACATCCTCCACTGGCAGTTATTAAAACCTGCTCAGTGGTGGAAAAATTAAAGAATATAATAAAACATAAAGAATATAATGAAACCTAATAAAAACTGTGTAATGGTCTGTAAACTACACAGATTGTCAATAGCAATAGAAAATGAAAGACACTGTCACAAATCCACCTTTATTTGCAATCCATAAAAGTAGCAAAAAACCTAAAACTAGACTACTACTACACCTAAACCTACTTTATGATGTGAACATAGCACCTGCACATGTCACTGCTGCCATAAAATAACATCCAATTCATTCTCTCCACCCTGCAGGCTTTCTTTCCAACAATAGTCACAGTGAGAAAAGTAGCTCAACATAATGATGAAACTCCTTCTTTTTTCTTTGTTCACGGAACAATGACTTCCTTAGTTGGTCCAAGTTTCCCAATAACAAGGAATAAAGTCTCCTTTTAATATTCATATGGCAAATAGTCACACCTTTAACTCCAGGCTCAAACAACACAGGCCTTTTTTTTGTGATGAGCAGAGCACTCAAACGTTTTGGTCAGTTTTAGATAGATATTGTCAAATCTTCTCGACATGTGACATTTTCTTTTTTCTCCGACTAGGATTGAATCCTCCAGGTTAAACACACTTTTGAAAGAGTACACTCTTTAGTTGTTTTAATCACTACTCATTAACTTCAATCTAAACACTTGGCCGACTTCTGTCACAAAACTGTTTCAGCAACAATGATGAATGGGGTAAAAGGTTAATTTTAAGCTAGATTGGTCTGAAACTTATAATACTTTTATTTAAGCAAAGGGTTCGGAAGTGAGGACTTTTTTGTGGTATCTCAGGCATCAAAAGCTCTTTAACTTTAGGCCATTGTTCATTAGTTTGATTTAGATTTTTTGCAGAAAACACACACACACACACACACACACAAAAAGAAAGAGTGATAACACAGCTTCAGTTAATAACAGGAACCTCAAATAATCACCATCTTCATGTTAAATGAGACCAAGCATGTAGAAGAGATGGTTCCCAGCGTGGATGCCTGCGGTCCTGAGTCCTTTTCCTTCGGTGTCAAAGGCTGACTTTGCTGAGTAAATGGAGCAAGCTCTAATGCTCCTGAAATGAATATCAGCGACTTGACCAAACTCATTTAGAGATCAGTCAGGGTCTTAATCCCTCTCCCCGGGGGTGGGTGTTTGTGTCTTTTTCTTGTGCCCCCTCTTCCTTTTGGAAGAAGGTAATGTGGCTAAATTTGCTTTGCTAATGGGCTTAGTGCAAGCTGTTACAGAGCAGAGTTAACACGCAGCAGCCAGGCAGGGATACCAGTGGCTTTTAATCTGACTCCTGATGGAGAGAAAGGGAGAGTGGGTTATAGTTTACGAGAAGTTTGGAGATAAAAGCAAGACTGGGGAGGTTTTACAGTGGGGGGTCGAGGACCAAAGACTAGAAGGGGAATTTTTTTTTGGGGGGCAGGGAAGATAACTTCATTTATCTTTGGGGAAGTTTGGTAAGAGAGAGAAAAAAAAGTCTTTTCTCAACAGTTGTTAACAGCTTTACAATTAATGTCCCCTTCAGAAAAAAGAAAAAAGAAACTTGTGCTCTTAAATCCAAAATGCAAACATAGTATATGACCTTTTGGAGCTGGAATGAATTGGTTCTTAAAAGTGTGCAGACACCTTTTCTCTATAATAAAGGTTTAAGATGATTTTGGCTGATGGGTGTAGTCAATCAATCGACAAGTTTTTATGAGTCTTTAATTTCTTTTTTATCTTGACAAACAAAGCCGTACCTCTCCTTGAACATGTGCTCTGTAGAAGCACACTTCCTTTACTGTGGCATCCTCTACAACCACTGATAACCTGGTGTGTGTGTGTGTGTGTGACGGCCGTGCGCCTTCCCATATGCCAGCTGTGGCAGGTGCACATTATGCGTGCCATATGCGAATTCGCCCTGAGATTATAGCACTTGTGTTACAGCTGACATCCATAAATGAAGACTTATGATGGCAATTTCCTGCTTAGAAAAAGCTGTCGCACCTATCTTTCCAATCTTCATAAAACACACACTTTTTTCTTTTTTTTTTTGTGCAGATTTTGTGCACACTCTTCTCCACATTATCTAACTTCCATTTGATTAAAATCTCCAGCTGACAGTGGAGACAGAGGGCTGCAGAGACGGCACCTTGAAAGCCAAGGCAGGCGGCGGAGCTGCTTCAGGTCTCAATACGAGTCACCTACCCCCAAGACATCAGCCATTCTGGGCCACTGACCCACAAATAAGAGACTCAGTCAAATCCATTTTGCCCCATGCCTGTCGGCGCTGTGTGTGTTTTAACTCTGTTGAGAGTCATTTTCCTGGTATCTCCATTAGGCTTGGGGTTCTTATAGAGCGACGACAGCACGGTCTCACCACAGTTCTGCTCACAACACGTTAGGAAAAGGGATTCTTGCTTGCAGCTACTCTGATGGAGCTCTTATTACAAAGCTAAAACAAATGCTGGTTTAGCAGCCAAAGAATTGTAAGACAGGAGCTGTTGGTAAAGGTATTTCTCTTTTTGTCTTAAATCATGAAATCATTTTAATCTAAGTGATGTTGAACTGCTTGAATGTTGCGAAACTTTGTCAGACAGGATTATCATTAACAAGGTCTTGTCCTCTGTATATTTAAATGATATATTTACCTGCAACTACTTTTCTCGTCCGTGGAGGTGCTTATGATCTCACACTATTCATTATGATTTGACAATATTTTAACTAATTTTTTCCAATGCTGAAAGGATACTTTAAAAAGTTTAAATGGCTCACACATGTGCTGGTCGCAGGTTAGAAAAAGTTTCATGTGGTTTGTTTCCTTCATCTTCAGGTACCAGTTATGTCAAACTCAGTGGGCAGTTTATCGGAGGGCACAGCGTACGGGTCCCGGATTGGGATGACAGAGGACTCCCTCGCCATTCTGGAGCGAAACAGGGGCTCTGGAGACCCTTGGGACATGGGGGAGACCAAACCAAACGTGGAAGCTCTGGAGCGTGGCATGCCAGGCCTCTACCTCTCCTGCTTCGACATGCTTCTCACTGAAGATGCAGCATGGCTAGTGAAAGTTTCAGAGGCCTCCCCAACACTGGCTGTGCCCATGACTCACATGGAGCCCCGGGAAGAGCCAGAGCAGTGCCCCGTCATTGATAGCCAGGAACAGGGACTCTCTCCGGGGCTGGAGGGCCAGGAGGAGGAGCGGTCTCTGGAGCAGGTGCAGAGCATGGTGGTGGGAGAGGTTCTGAAGGACATTGAAACAGCCTGCAAACTGCTCAATATCACCCCAGGTAGGCTGCCGTCCACCACACCTGCTACTGCAGTTATTCATCCTCAAGCAGGGTGTTACAGTATCAAGACATATAACTGACAAAGAAACAAATCTTTAAAGCATACAAGGCATTTTTCATGACTCCAAAATGTTGCCAGTTATTTGCAGGTATAAGAATATTGATTCAGAGATGTTTAAGCCGCTGGTTCGTACTCCCAAAATCAACACATATTTGTGTGGATAGCCCAGGCAGAATGACAGATCTCTTAAATCATATCCTTACTGACGCAAAGCTGTGTTTGCCTGCTCCAGGATATGTTTAATCCTGACCTTTGCATGAGGTTTCTTGGGTTGTGACAGTGATGGCTCCTTCCTGCCAGTAGACGTGTACACAGTCTTAAGGGCGAGGTCTCTCATGCTCACAAAGCAAACACAGGAAGCATTATGTATTGTTCTGGCTGTCATAAACCAATACGATCCCCAGTCATCTGTTCTGCTGTTCAGGATTGCTGTGCCATTAAAGTATGACCACCTTGTGTGTTATTATGTGTAAACATACCCAAACGAAACCCACTAAATTGGGAATTTAACTGATTAACGTGACTCAATATGACAATAATCTCACCGGACAAACGAGTCCAAACAAGGTCATTTATTGCAGTGGCAGGTGGGACTTTTCTCACCGCTTTCATATCTTTCTTTGTTTTCCTAGACCCCATAGAGTGGAGCACAGGAAATGTGCAGAAGTGGCTGCTGTGGACTGAACATCTGTACAGGTTGCCCCACGCAGGAAAGTCCTTCCAGGAGCTGACAGGAAAGGACCTTTGTGCCATGAGCGAGGAGGAGTTTCGCCAGCGTTCGCCGCAGTGTGGAGACACGCTGCACGCACACCTGGACATATGGAAGTCAGGTAAGGGTGTGATATTTATTCAAGTTCTTCATAGATTGCTGCACCTTATACAATGATTGTACTGCCTAATGTTTAGCTGTTTTAAACTTTTGAATTTGTGTGCATGCGTGTGTTAATGCGTTTATGTTTGAGTAGGTGTAAGATGTATAAGCATGAATTCATTTAAAGTAAAAACTTGTTTTTAAATTGAATATTTGTCTCTCTTTTACTTCCAGCTGCCTGGATGAAAGAGAGGTGTTCAGCTGGAGATACAAAAACTACAGGTAGGTTTGTTTTTCAAACTACAATAAATGAAAGGTGCATACACACAAAGTCAGGCAAAAAAAATCTAATGCGCAGAAGTACTTTCAATTTAAACACACTGTGACAAGAAGACACTCGACACTGGGCTTTTTGTGGCGCATAAAATGTGTCTTTTCTCAGTGAATCACAACCGAATGTTGTTGCTTCGTTGTGTAGGCAGCGAGGAGCTTTGGTCTGAAGCAGATTCGTCCTGTTCGGGTCAGCCTATTCATCTGTGGCAGTTCCTCAGAGAGCTCCTGCTCAAACCTCACAGCTATGGACGCTGCATCCGCTGGCTCAATAAAGAAAAAGGTAACCTCATTTTTTATTGTCATGTGCACACATGCTGCATCTCCAGCCATTTTAATCCACACTGTTTTAAATATCCATCAGTTTTCTAAAAAAAAAAAAATCTGGAAACAGAATTTTTAAATTTTTTAAATTTTAGAGGATGTTGCAATGAAAGCAAAAACAACATAGAAATTTAAATTAAAATATATGTTTCTATCATTAATTTCCCATCCACTCACAGTTCAGAGTGCACACTTCAAATGGAATTTAAAACGCTTTAACCATTTTGACTGTAGCTGGCTTCTCCTCTGCTTTCACTCTCTACATGCCAACTGCTTTCATCTCTTACTCTTTAAAGCGGTTGTAACTAATATTTCACAATAACAATGTGTCAAATGACAGCGTGAAAACATTGTCAAAGGGATCATTCGTATAGTGATGAACCGAAAGAGAATTCTCTGAGTTTAATGGTGAGTTTTCAAAATGCCCCGCCTCTCTGTCCATTTTGATATGAGCCAGGCGTGAGGCGGAGTCACGCACTGCATGATGGTGATGACAGAGCAGCCCACTCTTTTGGTTCACTCTCACCGCCCACTGTTCTCTACCTGCTCAGCACCAAACAGCAGACAGACACAGTTAGCGACAAGCTCCTGAACATAGTGGTACATTTCACAGCTCAAGAGCCAGATATTTCCTTCAGGTGGTGGAGACCAAAATCAGAGCAAAAAGTTGTAAGACTTCAAATGAATGACCCCGTTGCACTTCACACTTTGTCTGAGACGTGAACCTTTTTCAGAGCTTCAGCTGATACTTCAACTCCTCAAGTGCCTCAATTTCAACAACAGCTGCTTCTATCTATTTTCCCCTCATTAACATTGTTTCAAAACATCCAAAGAATCAACGTATTACAATCAAATATTTTATTAGCAAATTTCAGAAGTGCCACATTTTTCCTCAGAAATGTACAATTTAAATTCAATATACTTGCACACAACAGTGCAATGAATTAAAAAAATTCTAGTACAATATTACAGCAGCCTATGTTTTGTAGCATATTTTTAGCACAACAGCACAATTAATGCTAAAATAATTTGTTTCTAAAAGCATTTTGTTAAAAAAAAAACAAGAAAGCCTTCTTGTCCTTGGAGTTTACTCTCAATGAAACTGTAAATACTTTGAAATAAAAGAAATAAAAGAAATATGCATGCAAGTGGTTGACTCTCCAAGTCACTCTCTTTATGAGCAAATATAAAATGTCAGCACTGTCTCTTTTATACATTTTGTGGCATGTTGTTACAAATGTCAAATCTCCTGTGACTCCCACCAGGTATTTTTAAAATTGAAGACTCGGCTCACGTCGCCAGACTGTGGGGACTCAGAAAGAATCGACCTGCTATGAACTATGACAAGCTGAGCCGCTCCATACGTCAGTACTACAAGAAGGGCATCATCCGCAAGCCTGACGTGTCTCAGAGACTGGTGTACCAGTTTGTTCACCCAGTATGAGACTGCAGCAGACTGAGAGGAGGGGGAGGAGGAGGAGGAGATGGAAACCTACAAAATTAAAAGGACACGCTATCTCACCATGCACTTGAACACCTAAACCCAAGATGAAAAGGTGACAGAGAACACGTGCACTGACCAACCCCAATGGTACACACTTCCAATGCCAAGACCAAAGTAACAGCTGGCAGCTGCTGCACGAAGGCTTATCTGCGCATGGGCCGAGAGGAAGAGGCAAAACAATGTGGCTGCTGAGGCTTTTTCCTGCTGCACAATCACGCAGCCAGAAAAAAATTAAATGAACTGCCTTTTCATTTGCATGATCTGCCTGTTTATTTTTCCACAATGTGATTCCCAATTATCCTACGCTCACTTCAGCAAACAGATAGAACTGATAACTCTTACATACAAGCTTCATGAAAACGCCCATCGCCCACAGCTACATTTGTTTTGTCTTTTTGTTTCGCTCATCTTGACCATGGTCTCTGTTTGAATTAGAGCCAGTTTTTCTGCCACAGTTGAACGCATGGTCACGATTGTTTTGCTTCTTTTTTGGGTTTGGCCCTGGTTGTTATACACACAGTCAGTGAGTCAGCTCCCATAACCCATCGACCACAGGACAGGCACTCTTTTTTTTTTTTCTTATCTGATTCAAGGGTGAAAACCTATAAGAGGACCCTTAAGACTCTGCTGTGACTGTGTTTATAATGCCGCTTTTTATCTATTTTTATTCATGGTGTAACTTGGTTTCACTGCTAAAGAGCCCTGCTTTATATTTTATGTTTTCAACTCTGGTATATACTGCTGTATATTGCATTTTATGTTGTGGATGTTTTATTGTGGAGACCCAAAGTGTTCAAAATAAAATAAATAGAGAGTGGAATATATAATCACACATGCATACAGAACATATCATATAACCATGAAATTATATAATAATCTAATACAGTTTTTGTCATCCTAGCAGCTCCATAAACAGCAACGTTAGTCGCTCAGTCCAACACTTTGTTTTGATATTTCAGTGCGACCCAATTATTTGATTGCCCTGAAATTTGGTCCACACATTCATATCCCTCCCAGGATGAACTGTAATAACTTTGGTGATCTCCTTATTTTCATGTAGTGCCATCAGTTCAATGTTTAAGTTTGTCAGATTCTTTGGTTTATAACCAGATCCCTGCAAATCTAAAGGCATTCCCATCAGCTGCACTTTGTGTGCTAATTGGCAAATGTTCATACATGCTAACCTCTAACACACATGTTAAAACTGCTTAACATGAACATGCTAGTATTACCATTGGGATCATGCTGATGTTAACACTTAGCTTACAACACGCCTGTGTTCAAGTACATTCTCACAGAGCTGCTGGCATGTCTGTGGACTCTCAGTCCTGTTATTTAGTTTTAACAGCTTTTTACCATTTACCATTCTTAATAGATATTGTCAAAAAGTCTCAACATAAAAAAATAACACAAAAAACAATAATAAAAATTATATGGAATAAACTTTTATTTTGAAAGAAAATAGGATGACATAATATTTCATTTCCAGACTTACTGGATTATTTTACAATCACAGTTTTTGTATTTGATCTTTCTTTAAGTATTTATTTCATTCTTTTTTTGTATGTATTTCATACATGAATGCTTTGGTTGTCCACATTTTACACCCATAGTGCTTCCTATTTTCTCCTGGAGATATTGCCTAAATGTCTGCCTGAGCAAGGATACGGTATCCGAGCTTCAAACAGGGCTCAATAAACTTTATTTTTTAATGGACCATGCACCTGTGTGGTGTCTCTCCCTAAAAGTAAAGTAGCACATATAAATTCAGTTACATGTTCTCTGGAAAGCAAACTAAGGCTCAACAATCATCACGTAATTACTAATATTACATGTTTAATGACATTTTATCTTCTTGCTCTTTCTTTTTCTTTTAAGATTTGTCATAATTGCCCTTTCTATGAAGTAAGCCAGAGGGTAAATATCTGCCAAGAAAAGGTGGGCTTGAACTATAACCCAAGCTGTTTAACTTTGCAGGTAAACTTATTCCTGTATGTTCTGGGGTACAGGTGTCAAATCTCACTGAGAGAAACATGAGTTAAAAGCATCAAGTGGAAATATGATGTCAGTCTTGAGGTGAAAGGATACGACTGTGTGATAGTTATTTTCAGTTCAGAACACAATTCTGACGCGATAATACACAGACAAATGTGTAAAACATCATAGAATTATAGCCATTTCAGGCCTGTGGCATACAGAGTTACTTCTGCACTAATTAGGACTGAGCAGAATAAATGAATAGGCCCCACCCACGGTTTCAGCTCTGTTAGCAACTGACACACCTCTGCAAATGACTGTTTTAATTCACCATCCACCTTACAAAAAGATCCTTATGAACTCTCTCAGTAGGGAGGGGCTGTTTAAAATGTTATCTAAGGAAAGAAATGTATATGCATAAATCTGTATTTCATTTAGATTTCTTCACTTATTTTTCATCCCTTTTTGCCTGTGTTGTCTTGTATACATCAGAATTAATTTCCAATTTTTTAAATTTTCTTTTGAACTGTGCTCCACTGCCTTGAATTATATAACACTGTCTAGATGTCGCATTAATTAAACCTTCTGACTAGTAATGGAAAGCAGCTTTAGCTGATAAAAACCAATGAATGTTCTCCCAAAATATCACAAAATGATGAGTCTAGAAAGAAACTTTTGCACTCCTGAGGGACTTACATGTAATGCTTCAGAAAGTAAAAAAGGGTGTTGAAGTGTGAAAGGGTGTAATTACGCACACATCAAGTTAGTGTGAGGTCATTTAAAAAGATAAGTCAATGAAAACAGTAATGTCTGCTCACTGATTTCAAGCCACAAAACTTATTAAAAAATTCAAGTTAAGTTTAAAAATCAAGTGAATAAATAGTAATGATAAATGTAGTAGTAATTTGAATCATTTGTAATAGCTGACACCAAGATGTCCTAGTGTCTGGCTCATTTTCATTTGGGATGTAAAAATAATAAACACACCCAACCATAAAATTTACTTTAAAAGCAAATAGCTGTTTTTTTTTGTTTTTTTTAGGGTTGACTTTCCTTATAGGTCGTACGAGGTCTGTACAAGAGATAAAAACCTCAGCAAACACCTACTTTAAAAATAACAACCACAAATTTGATTATCATAAGTTGGATAATATCCATTCAGTTATTACACCACAAGGAAATGGCATGCTATCTTTTATAAATAATATCTACATGTCTGTGAGTGTCCTGTGGCACTGTGGGAATTTTGTTGGCGTGTGGTTGAGGTTCATTAACTGGCAGCAGGTGTGTTGATTGAACGGGATGATACTGAAGGATTGTGTTGTTTTTGGGAATCTGCCTTGTGGTGTGATGATTTATGTGACGCATGTCCTCACAAAGAGCCAAACAAAGAGCTGACGGAGGTTACTGCTGACCTCTAGTGTCAGAAAATGTTATGAAGTTTAGAGTTACACCCAGGAGGCCACAGCGTTAACCCTTAACGTGATTCTTTCTCAGACTAGATGAGAAGTTACTATGTGCATTTACTCAAGAAATGTACTTAATTTCAAGGTACATGTAATTTGACTCATTTCATTTTATGTTACTTTATACTTCTACTCTATTACCTTTCAGAGCGAAGTCTTGTACTCTTTATTCCACTCTATTCATCTGACATTTTAAATAAAAAAATACAATCAAAAGAAACTGTGTCATCAGAGATAAAACAGGGTTTAAAATATGACTTGCTGCTATATAAAATAGTTAAATTAGCTGCTACTTACAGATTCATGCATCACTAATAATAATAATAATAATACAATATTTGATAATACAACACTTGCACTGTGACTACTTTAAGTACGCTTTGCTAATATTACTTGTTTTACTCAGATAACACTTTCACTGCAGGACTTTTAGTTGTAATGGAGAATTATTCCTGTAGTGTGACTGACATCTTTTAATTCTACTCCACGTTTTCATCTTGTGAGGGAATTTTTCTCTTGTCCGCCTAATGAAGGACTGACTCGGGGTGAAAGGTCAGTGTGAGGCCCTAGGTCTCGGTGCCCCAGCTACTGCATTAAATCTTACAGGCCTTGAGACGCTCAGGCGGCTCCTCCAGACGCAGCAGCGGTTTGCTGCTGATGCTGCTGGTGCCAGGGCTGATAACAGCAGACCTTGGATGGTCAGTAACAAGTGGCTGGGTGTTCTAAGAATCAGCACTTGGGCGTATATAGTCAGGTTTCCTTTTTCATGGTTAATGAACCAATAGCGTATTCACACATGCCTCTTCTCCCATCAATAAACATCCTCAGCATAAGACGTCCTGGACTCCGGCGCTCTTCCTTCACCTCCGATGATAAGAATTTTTCCCTAACACATCTCAGGTTCACAGATGCTCATATGTGCCTCAGAGCTTTCTGATGACATCTTTTTATTTTTGCTTAAATGCAGATGAACAGGCACTACAGTTTGGAAATTACAGCACTAAGCTAAAAAAAAAAAACAAAACAGAAAGACAGAAAGCCCTCTAGTCCTCTAAAAGGTTTTCCTTCAACACTGCAGATCAATGTTTCCAGCATGAGCAAAAGGACAGAAAAGAAAAGGAGCATTTGAGCACAGTTTTTCAAAATATGATTAAACATCCTTCAGTGTATCACAGTTGTTTCACAGTGGATGCTGCAGTTGTAGCTTTACGTGTCTGCTTTTTCTCACTTTTACAGTTCTCTTGTAAACAGTCCCATTCTGTTTCAAATACAGCTTAAGATAAATGAAGACAGTTAATGACGCTGAGGTCTCTCCTCAATCAGACAAAGGGCCTGCGTGCTGTGTCGGTGTAAAATGAGCTGGATAACCTGGAGTCAGATTCTGTGGGACTGAGCTCTCTTTCACTTTGTTTGAACGTGACAGTTTGAGAGTCTTTGGAGTGGCAGCGTGGGAGATTTTGATAAGGCAATATTCATTTCACCACTCTGAAGCCAGTGCTTATGAGGAGCAACACTTTTTTAAGAAGCATACAGAAGCATAAACACCATGACGAGAGATGTTTCCCTCGTTCTCTCTTGCAGCAGAAAAGGCAATTGTCTCATCAATATTTCAGAGACAGATCCTCTTTCTGCTTTTCTAGTCGCAGCTTTCTCTGTCTACATCAGTAAGAGAACACCCGTCTTCCTCATCGACGACGGTGTAGCGTTCTCCAGCACCTGTGGTTACCAGGAGTAACAAACCAATCTCATATAACACGTACTGCGCTGCCACATGCACTCTTAATCTTTCTTTGTATAAGGTTTGATTTAGTTTTTCTGATTAAAGCCAAATGTTTAAATATAAAGATGTTCATAGCCTATATTTAATACAGCCTGCATTTTTGGTACACAGTGAAATAGATTTACAGTGTTATGCAAATGGCATTATCATCATCGTCGTCATCATCATCATCATCATCATCATCATCATCATTCTGATAAGAGTTTTAATTCAGTCAAGAATCTGTCAATAATTTGGGGGAAACAAATTGAGGCCATGCATTGGATCAGTTCAGATCAGAGCGGTAAACAGTGTGTGGGAGCATCAGCATGCACATAATCACAGAGATAAGAGCTGGAAGCTGATAATACAGAGTCACTGACATCCACTCATAGTAAACAAGTCACATTAACTGCAGGAATTAAAATAAAAAAAAAATTACAAAAATTAAAACCTTGGTTATGAAATGAAGCTAATCTCTGTATAAAACAGCTGCAAGTTCATATTTCCAGGCAGGTTTTGTTCATGACGTCTGCAATATTAACACATGTAGAGACAAAACAGAGGAGAAACTATAATGAAAGGTTATAGCAGGCACCATGTTGTGGACCGGCGAGAGACTGGAGGTTAATGTAAACAATCCTTGCATTGTTTGGTAGAGTATGTACTGTACTGTATTTCCATTTCAAAGAGAAGCTCTGCTGAGAGAGGCCGCATGTTTTATTTTTAGTCTTTTGTCCCGTTGCAAAAATGCTAATTCAGTGACATGCTGTGGAGTGGAGCAGGAAAACAACTAGACCCATTACAGGAATACTTCCAAATTTTTTAGAAATATGCATTACTCTCTTGCAGAGAGTTAGATGAGAAGAGTGATTGAAACTAGTTTTGTTAACTTAGCTTAGCTTAGCTTAGCACAGAGACATAAAGCAGGGGGAAAGAAGCTAGCCTGGATCTGCCTCTAAAGCTCACTAAATAACATCTTGTATCTTCATCGTTTAACAAAAACTGTACAAAAACATGTAATGTTTCCACTTCAGACACAATATAATCTTTTGCAGAGTGCTTTTCAAAACTGAAGTTACAAAGTGCTTCAAACAGGGCAGCAAAATAAACTCAAAATCATAAGATAGAAAGATAAAAACCATTTGCAGTGGTGTAAAAGACACGATAAAGACTGAAATAAAAATAAATAAAATCAAGGGCGTTGAGGCCTTTAGCTTTCACCTGGGTCTCAAACTCTTGAATCACTTTACAGTAAATAACATTTTGCTGTTGGTATCTTTGCTATCTTAAGACCTTACCTGAATGAGTTTCTATATAAATGTTTTCACAATGGTAAAGGCTTTTCCTGACTTTCAACGCACCCTTTAGTGAGGCTGCGGTGAGTCACTTCAGTCAGTCCAAGTAAAAATCCAGCTCCATGTTTTAGTGTAGCTCCTGTAGTTTCAGGCTGTGATGCTGCTGATATCAAAAACTGCTTTATTTTGATACTTCAAGTACCTTAGTTAACTCCAAGAGCTGTGATCCACAGCCACTGCTGCTGCTGCAAACTGTGGACTGAGTTGTTCAGCGGGCAGAATCAGCGGGCCAAAATACAATAACCAACTTCCTGTTGTTTTTAAAACACTTGTGTTTTTCTGTCTGGAGAACAGACAGAAAAGGACATGTTCATCAGTGAGCTTTGGAAGTGTTAGTAAGCTGATTTTGTTAGCTAGCTAGCTGTTTCCCCTTTACAGACTTCATGCAAAGCTAAGCTAAGCTAAGCTAAGCTAAGCTAAAGCAACCTGGTCCTGTGTCTAGCTTCATATGTAACGTAGGCTACAGACATGAGAGGTTGTATTCATCCTGTCATCTAACTCTCAGGAAGAAATCAAATAAGCGCTTTTCCCAAAAATGTCAAACTATTCCTATGATGCTAAACATGTAAATATTTCACAAAGGGAGAAAACACTGAAAAAAACTGTACAAGCATCCAGACTGTAAAAAAAAGATGAAAATATATACATGAAATGCACAATGCATGGCTCATTCTCGCTCTCCAGGCACAACTGATGAAACCATATTGATATTATGATGAGAGAACATACTGTATGGCATGTTAGCATCACGACTGCAATCAAACACAGCTACACACAAACAAGACTAAAATATTTTGCTTGAGTTGTTGTATCTGGGGGTGGGATTTTGTTTCTGTAAAGTCTTGTCTGTGATGAGTGCTGAGATGAAGGCAGCTCACTGCGCCCGACAGGACAAGGAAGCTTTGCTTTGAAGTCTCTGGCAATGTGCAGTTATGACCGGACGGTTCAATCTGGGTTTGCCCTCCAACGAGACAAGCGTCCTCATGTGGAACAGTTAGATCGGCTCCACGTAATTGGCCGGGTAGAGACCCAGCTGGCCGTTGTCTAGACGACCTTTACACCAGCCCTGTTCGTCCTCCTCCTCCAGCTTCGTCAGCTCGTCCCCTTTATCAATGAAAGGAGACAGACACGTGCAGCGTGAGGTTATATGAAACAACACACTCAGTAGAGCAGTGATTCATTTTGATGAGTCTGAATTCAATCTTCTGCCCAAAACTGCATTAAAGCCGTCCTCCTCACTGTCTTGAAATGCTGTCCACAATGACCTCATACAACCAGGAATTAAAGGGATACTTACAGTTAAAAATGATACAGCAAAATATTTGAAAGGGGATAAATTTCTATTGTCTCATGTGGTATAGTCTATATATACAGTATATATGGCCATTTGCTTTGGTGAGCTCACATATAAGGAAAACTTGCATTACAAAGCTGACAATAGATACTTGAAAGATCTCTCAGTGGAGTAAACCTTTGACCTTTATGTACTATACCATCAGCACAGCAGCAGGAACTGTGCTTGAGAAACTAAATGAGTCATAACTGTGGCAGCAGGGACTGTGGCAGCAGGGATTCGCCGTTCTGTCCAAAGACTTTTTTCCCCTCTGCAGGACCAACCCTGAGGAGACACCGGGTACGACGCTCACCTGCTCTGAAGCTGAGCTCGTCCTGCTCTTGGCCTTCGTAGTCGTACAGCGCTCTCACTCTCACACCTTTGCCTGCATCGTCATCGAAGGGGTTCGTCCCCCCGTTGGTGTCGTTGCCTGAGTTCGGGGCTGTCTGGTCCTCATCCGACCACTCTGTGGAGGCTGTGTACGCCTGGTTCTTCTCATAGCTGCTGACACTGAACACAACACGTTTCAGCAGAACATTACTGTATATATTACTGCCACTGTGGATGTTTTGTTGTTCTTTTCAGTGCGTAGTTTGATATATTTCTTGTTTTTATTGACTTGCAAAGGACTTACACAGCTATGATCACATTACTATTAATGGTGCTACACTAATGTGATTATGATTAGCAGCTGTGCTTCTGTGGTTTTAGCTATGATAAAAGATGATGATAATTATCTATAAAACTAAATCACAAAATATTAAATCTGTATCAGACTCTGATACTTTGTGAAACAGAAATGTTACAACAGATGTTCATAAGATGATCTGAGTAAGAGTATCTGCTTTAAAAATATTAAATTGATCAGATTTTACCTTCCCCGGTCGCCAGCTTGAGCGTGGTCTACTGCTGTCGTGACGTTAGTCAGCATGACTCCATCACTGCCTTTCTTTGACTTTTCTTTCTTAGAGATGCTATGGGTGAGGTCTGGGTTGTATTCCTGAAAAACACGAGACAAAACGTGTTTGGATTTGGATTTTCTGCTCTGCACAGCAACTGTTGTTCAGTCCCAGCTATCACTCAGTATGTTAAACACTATTTTTTATGCTCAACGGCGTCTCAATATTCTTAATATTCGACCGGATTTTTGCACTTTGCACAAAAAAAAAAAAAAAAGACACAAAAATTAGACTGCATTACTTTTAGCAAGGTGTGCCTAATTAACCGAGTGTATTTCTATTTCATCTTTGTCATTATTGCTCCTGTCAGAAAGAGAGAACAGAGAACATTGAAAATGTGGCATTAAAGTTTGGACAGCATATGAAGCAGAGTGCTGCCGATCTCCAGTCATGATATAATGTCTTCAGATTGTCTTTATGAATGTTACTGCAACCTGTGATGGCATTTCTTGTACCTCAAACTGTGGCCAGTTCATGTGCATGCCGGGGCCATGGTTGTTGCTGAACCACTTCAGATCTTCCTGCGGACTTGCTGACGTGATGGTGCGTTCAAGTTCTCTGTATACTGTAACATAGCTGTGAAAAACAAGCAAAGATTTAGTGTATGGTAACGTTCGGCCGATGACAGTGTCTCGTCGGACCGGCCATATTAAACGTCTCAAACCTTTGGTTCTCTGTGAGGTTGAGGTGGCTTTTGACATCCAGCAGCACCTCTCTGAGGAAGCTCAGCCTCTTCTCTTCGAACTGCTGACACTGGTCGAACACCTGCTCCATGTTTTCCATGTAGTGAGGGGTGCATTTACTCAGCTCATCCAGAGCCTTCTCATACTTCTCCCTCGCCTAGGTTGTGACACAAACACAAGCACACTCTTAACAGTATGGAATAAATTTTGAATGTGGTGCAATATCTCAATGACGTGGGAATGAGTGATGTTTTAATGACACGTCTTGTCCACCAGTTCCTGTTTTTCATTCCTGTGGTCAAAAGTGAATCCTGTTACCCTTGAACAGGCAATAAATGTGTCTTTAAGCACAAGAAAGAATCATGGTTCAAGAGAGGGAAGGCCAAGGCAGAGGTCAGAGTCCACGTTACTACAGAGCAGCTCATGTTGAAGTATTAGATATAGTAGATAAAGAGTGGGCGGTGTGGTATTCACTCACACATTAACAAAGCTACACTGACTCCAGCAATGCTGCCTTTATAACACAGCCACGCATCTTAAAATAGCCAGTGAGCTGATTTGCTTTGACTGGATTGTAGAAAACAGCTTTTGCATAATGATGATCCCACAGGCCTGTTAGAGCTGCAGCAGCTGATGTTCTCACTTTCTGTGAATCCTGTTTGCACTTGTCCACTTTCTCATGCAGCTTCTTCTGCTGGTCAGCTGTCACAGAGGCCTCCCCCTTACTGTTGGCCTCTCTGGTGGACGCCAGCTTCTCCTCCTTGCAGGCCATGTGGTACGACTTCTTGGCGGCCTCGAGCTATGGGGGAAAGATGAAATAAACAAATGAAACTTGCGAACAACTGCACTTATGAGAAACACACACAAACGTAACCAGTGAAAAAAATCAGCATGAATAACATTGAGCTGCAATTAACAATTGTTTTCTTGTTCAATTGAATGTCATGTTTTGTCTGATCAACAGCCAAAAACACAAAGATATTCAATTTACTATCACGTAAGACAAAGAAAAGCAGAAAATCTTCACAATTTAGAGGCAAAAACAACAATATATTTGACATTTTTGCTTGAGAAATGACTAAGACTTATTTTTCTATTGATCAACTAATTGATTGACAGACCTTTTACTTAAATAATTTCATCTCTACAACAAAACTGACAGGCTATCATATTCTAAAACAATGAATGCAACAGACAGTGATTACCGGATCTTTTAGTATCATTTAGTTCTCATTACCAGAATGCAGCTTAGCAACATTATCACTCATCACACACTGACTTACAATATTAATATTAATCACTGTGAAAACGTACAGTCTATGTCAGAGAAATTAATCAGAGATGCTTCGATAGGCTGTTTATTTTTTATTCTTTGAGTAATTTCAGTAATATAATACATAACTACACATATGTCAGTGTTAGGTTGTTATCTCCCAGTTTGTTTTGTTCCCAATCAGTCTGTCCACTTGCACCTGCTGTTAATCATCTCATCAAGCTGCTCCAGTGTTTAAGCCCCGGATCTTCCCTCCAGCCTTCGCCAGATCGTTCAGTCCACACTAATGGCACAAACGCTACGGCCAAGCTTCTTGTTTTGGCTCCTGCGCTGCCTGTTTGCCCGTTTGCTCCTGCTAATGCTTTGTCTGCCTGTGCCTCAGGTTCACCATCCAGTCATCTCCTGTTGCCCGTCATGTCCAGCCACGTCCTCGTTTGTTCGCCTGGTTTGGATTGCTGTTTTTTTTCCCCTGCCAGCTGCCTGCCCCGCTCCGCCTGTCTGCCTTCAGTCCCTCGCCTCCACCAACGCAGCCTCTGCCAACGTTGCAACTTTCTACAATAAATAACTTTAAAACCTCGGTTGTTGTCGAGCCACTTTGGGTCCAAAAATACTACTGCCTTTAACAAACATATAGTACGTGCACAGAATAGCTACAGATATAGAAATGCAATCCTGTCTTCTTCATTTGGCCACAAGTTCTCATCCACATCACATCTTATGTTCCAGCAGCAAAAAAAACAAAAACAAAACAAAACAAAACAACGTGTAACTTCAGAAACGCAACAGCAACACATCTCGCCAGAAACAACGTCTACTGGCTACTGTTGTGTTTTTCAAACGTAATTTTGAAAGCTGTCAGCACCACAAACTAAATCCCATTCATCACTTGTGGCAGTCTGTAAAACAAACAAAACTCTCATCCAAATGAAAGGTTTTTTTTTTTTTCATGTGGGTGAGTTCACACTGTTACCAACGGATAGTTCAGTAAAAAAAACAAAGAAAAAACAACACACTCCCTCACCTCCTTTAGCTTTTTGGCCCATGGTTTCTGGGCCTTCTTAAAGCCCTCGTCTGCCTCTTTGGTTTCCTTGAATCCTCCCATCATCTGTTTGTGGTACAAGTCTTTCTGCCAGTTCTTCACCTTCTCAAAGTCCTCGTTGATCAGGTTGTTTTTCACCTCCTGGTGAAGCTCGCTCACCTTCTCTGCCTCCGTCATCACCGCCACCCAGGCTCGCTCTACTGTGCCGTACTGAGGCCCTGGTGGAGGGATGAAGGGGCGAGTAAAACACTGAAGCATTTAAATATCAAAGCGGACAAACATCAGACTTTACCGACTCCTCTTACCTTTGTCTACCAGCTGTCTCCATCTCTTGGACCACTCGGTCAGTTGCTGTGCGTAGGCCTTCTCGATTTTGGCACGCTCCTGGATGCAGCTCATCAGGTCGTTGCAGAGCCGGTGGCCGTCGTCGATCCGCTTCACTGTACGTTTGTAGTTCCCAACCTGACCGAAAATATCGCAAGTTACTTCCTGTAATTTTATTTGACTGGAAAAGAATCCATTTATTATACAACTATGTTTTTACTGTATCATTTTTCATTTTTGTGTTCTCTTTGAACACTGAACTGTTTCAGCCTCTGGCTCTGCCCTGGTAATTAATCTGGGGTCAGCGAATTGATTTGCTGTACAACACTCCTCAAATGTAATGTACTGAAGGAACAGGTCGACATTTGGTTGTTTTCTTGCTGAGAGTCGAATGAAAGGATCGATATCACCTCCACATGTGTGTGTTAAATATGGATCTAAACTTAGCAATAGCTTAACCTAAAGACTAGCTTGGCTGGAACCAAAGGCAACAAAACCTGCATTTTAATAAATGAGCTTAAGAGGTGCTGGTCGGCTGATTCCCTCGACTTCCACCTTTATGCTGAGCTAAGCGAACCGGCTGCTGGCTCCAGCTTCATATTTACCACACTGGCATGACAGCGGTATCAATCTTCTGATCTAGCTCTCATCATGAAAGCAAAAGTATTCATCCTGAAATTTCAAATTATTCCTGTGTCCTTCCTGCTTGGAGAAGAGCATATTCTCTGAATTTACTTTAGGCTCGGGCTGCAGCTAATGGTTATTTTCATTATTGATTAATCTGCAGATTATTTTATCAATTTGTTTCATCCACGAAACATCAGAAAACACAGAAAAATGCTCATCATAACATTCTACAACACAACTTGATGCTATCAAATGTCTTGTTTTTGTCGTCCAACCCCCAAAATATTTAATTCATTATAATGTAACCGACCGAGAAAAGCAGTTAATTACCTTATTTGAAAACCTGTACGTATAAAGCAATTCTCCTCTCGGCCTGCAGGTGATGCAGCGAACAGAGAGGAGCTGCTGCTGTGTGTGTGTGGAGTTATGTAATGAAACCAGGGGTGGGAGGGTGGGGGGAGTTAATGTCATATAATTTACAACTCTCTATGGACGCAGGAGCAGCAACCTCCCAGAGAGCTGTGAGCTTTGCCCAGAGACAGAGTGAATCCTGGTGCACTCACTTCACACCTCTTTGACAGAGGAGAAAAAGAAGTGTGTCTGCGCTGAATGAGAAATAGATGTTTACCTGCGCCTCACTCAACAAATCTCAAAAGTGGATGTAAATGTAAGCAGCGGCGGACAGATGATTGTATTCCACACCAGCCCTGTGCTTCAGGCAGCCGAGTCAGCGCTCAGCAGGCAGCACTGCAGCAGCTCCACTGTGATGCAGTGAGTGACTGTGATGTAGTGACTGTGTGCGGGAAGCAGACACCTTTGCTGCTCCAGCTGATTCCTGAACACACCGCCTGGCTGAAGGGACGTGATGAGGATAAAATGCAGCCGAGTCTGAGGGAGAGGGATTATAAAACCCGAGCGTCTAGAATAACTGCTGAGTCAGTCCATCACACGTACAGCTACATGATCGTCAGTATTATCTGTAGCCTAAGATGTGGAGAACTTTTTTCTTGGTTTGTGAGCAGTCACCACCTCTCATATATAATGAATGGACTTCTGGGAACTTGTTGCTCACATTACATCAAACTGTTTGTGCTCGGAAAAGGTTGTTGGTGATGTAATGTTGTGGGAGAAACCCAGTACAACACACTGCTATCTAGGACTAAAACGATCAATTAATCAATCAACAAAATTGCACCACTGTTTTAGATGATCAATTAAGTCATTTTTCAAGCAAGAATGCCAAATATTCCCGACATCCGGCTTCTTGTTTGTAAGGATTTTCAGTTTTTCTTTGCCGTGTGTGACAGGACGCTGAATATTTTGGGGTTTTGGACGGTTCATCAGACAAAACAAGGAACATGAGGATCATCTGAGCGAGGCTCACAGAGTTAAACTTTAAGGTCTTGTTAAATGCAGGAAAACCAGTAGGAACAATAATGCCAAGAGCTTATTTATATCCCATTCCTGTCCACTTCTAGCTCCTGTGGCAAGCTCCTGTTTGCACAATCCACTGTCACACCAGTTGCACTCGTAGTTTACAGATGTATAATGTCTCCTGACAGCCCACGAAAACATCGAAAAAAATTATGTAAGGCTAGAAAAAATATTCATGACCTTTAAAGAGTTTTTAAAACCTGCTGGGGCCTTTTTCGAGGGACCTGTATTCCGAGCTTTGTCCTTCTCTGATACCATGTCTGAAGCTTTAGTAAATCTGTGACAGCCATTTGTCCCTATTTTCTGAATTTCATAATCCAAACAATTATTCGATTAATTCAGAAAAATAAAAGTCAGATTGATGAAGACTTAAAAGTTTTTTTAGCTGCAGCCCTGCTGTGATCCATCCACTAACCATTAGATACCATTTGCAAATTGTTGGTTTGTTTTGACATATCTAAGTGTCATATAATAGTTGGTGTCACATAGGACAGTGATAAGAAGCACCAGAATTTCACACGAAAACCATAATAAATCAATTTATTACTACTTTAGTCACATGATGTGGATTCGTCAGCTGCAACAAGCAACTGTTGCTTGTGTGACGCCCCTCCCATTGTCTTGGATTGGAGGTTGTCCTTGCCCACATTGGCAGGCAATTGGTCGGCATGGGATCACTTGTCCTCTTCCCTCCATCTGCTGACATCCCTTTGTTTTGCTTTTGCACATAAAACACTGCCACAGCAAATGTACCACTCACACATGCACCGCTTTCATGAGTAATACTTGCTGATTTCCACACCTCTTTGTGCTCTCTTAAGTTTTAGTTATAATAAATAGCTTTTTTTTCAGTATAACTTGGTGTGATCTCCCTTATTGTCACATTCACTGAGCCAGTTTGTGACACTTGACACAGACGGCAGATCAGTTTGCACCTTTTGTTTGATGCAGGTACGTCTGTCGTTCCCATCTGTAAAACAGGAGACAGACTTCGGAGGAGTCAGCATGAGTCAGGTATTTCCATAGATAGAGAAGTCCTTTGGAAACCTGTACAATGCAACTGTCCTTGCAGCGGCAGGACACAAGTACAGTTGTGACATGCCTTTAAAAAGTTCAAGACCCTAGTTATGTATAGATGCTAGTTACAACTTGCACAAGAGTGTGCACAAGAACCTCCTGTACTGACAAGATAGTATTAAAAATGCTAATTTACACCTGTGCACATTGATCAATAAAAATTCCACCTGTTCCTAAATGAGACCCATTGACAAACCAAAGGCTTTACAGCTTACATCCAAAACGCAGGACTTCTCGTACTTGAAAAATGGAGCAAATGAGAAATAAAAAGGAAGACAAACTTCAGAAACGATGAGGCTGAGATGCTGAAAAGGAGGTTCAACTAAACTAAAATGTGTAATGTAGCAATTTCACAAGTGGGTTATCTAAGAAAAGAAAGAGCCATGAACTGTGTCACCAGTAATGAGAGCTGTTGTAGAGGTGAAGAGAAAAATGACCTGAGAATAACAGCTCACTAAAGAGACATCACAAGAGGAGTCAGAGCAGCACTGCAGTGTCATCCAAAGATGACAGAATAGTGGCAATTATTTGTTAGAAGTCCCTGGTGTTTACACTGAGAGCCAAAGTAGTAAAAAAAAAAAAGAAAAAAAAAAGGGTTTTTTAGTATCGCACTTACCGTTAATGTCATTATGCTCAGTGATTAAACGTCATTCACAGATCTGCGTAACACTACAGGTGAAGCTGCTGCTACAGTGCGCACACCGACGAGTACATGCCCGACTGACGCTCAGGTCTGCGCCCACATGCAGCTGATAAACGAGGCCTCAGATCTATCCTCTCACCGCCCAGACAAAACAGGTTCAGTGAGAGTTCATCACTCGGCGGCGTCAGCTCCCGGTTAGGTCTAATCTGTCAAAAGCTGGTCTCACCTCCCAGAAACTGTCTGTGGTCTCCTCCTGGCTGGCGGACTCGTCGTAGGCTCCAGACATGGTCCCAGATTTTGGCAGGACGGCTTCAGGCTGTGGCGGTCTGCAGCAGACTAATGCTCCTCATGCACTGTCAGAGAAGACGAGCACAGAAGAGTGTAAACACAGTGAATGTGAGCAGCGTGAACAGAGGGATACGTGAGGGATACGAGGGACACGAGGGATACGTGAGACGCATAAACATCCTCTGAACTCACAAATCTGGGTGCAGGCTGCAAACGGTGTTGCTATACATTCAGAGCATTTGGTTCTATTCACTGAAATAATTGCAGAATGCAGTCATAACGCTTTCATATAATAAGCTTATGCATTTTCTTTTAGTCCCATCATCATTTAGTCCCAGACTGAGAGCTTATTCCTGCAGCTCATGTGATCACAACATCACAGCCATAATCTTAATTCTTTTTTTCATGCTCTTATAATACTCACAACTGCTGTTTCACAGATTTCAAAGTGTAGGCAAAGTCCTTATGTAACCAGAAAACGGCAGTGCACATAAAACATTCATGCAAGATGCTTAGAGACAATTAACCACACAGACTAAATGCGAGTAAAGCTGCCTTTTAAAGAGCAGTAGATAATGTATGTAGCATATCCCAGATTCTATGTGTTTAAGAAATATAATCTAGGGCTGCAACTAACCATTATTTTTCTTTTTTTTTCATTAATCTTCTCATTAATAAATAAATAAAATTATTCAATTATTTGTTTGGTCTACAAAGTGTTTAAATCATAAAAAAGCCCTGTCACCAATGAATTTTGGCATTTTTGCCAGAGAAAAACGAATTAAATGATGAATCAATCATCAAAGATAAGCTGCCAATTCATTTTCCGTCAGTTGTCTTCCTAAAAACCTGTTTCAGCTCTGGCTGCAACTAACAATCATTTTTCAATTAGTTAACTAATCCATAAAATGTAATGGGAAATTCTCCCATAATCTTCCAGAGCCAAAGTGACACCTTCACCAACAGTGTAATGAGCTTCAGGTAACAGTGACATAAATTGGAAACATTTTTATTATATTTAGTATTTTTGCTTCATAAACTACTGTTCCATCAAACAGACAGTTGCTCCAGCACTATTATAATCTTCCTTAAATCATGACGACAAATACTATGTACAATAATACCACCGAATGAGCTGATACACTAAATTTCTCTAAAGGCCAAACTAAAGTGTTCAGTGAGTTTGACACAATATTTCCCACACAGCGATGTCTGATGGGCTCAGATACTTCAAAAACCACAATCACCCTCATAACCTGAGTGCTTCTGGTTATTTCTCTCTCTACTCCCCTGAGCTGACTTTGTCAATAGATGTAATGACTGGCTATTAATTTTCAGCTCACCCTACCTCCTGTCAGAACACTGCAGCGTAATTGCAGAATAATCTTCCCTCATTCTAATCAACTAACATTATCCAAAGGCCTCGCTGGTGCACCTTATGCTGCTGCAGAAATTAGGAGCTGTGACATGATTGCTAATGATGACACTTGCTGCAATTAGTGCACAAAGCCACTACCGAAGTGAGAGGAGGAGGAGGAGGAGGAGGAGGAGGAGGAGGAGGAGGAGGAGAGAAAATCAGACCTATCAACCAGTCCACCTGCCTGCATAAACTACCTACCTACCTGTCCATAAATTGATTACTGAGCAGGCATACTGTGCACAGTCCCAGAGGGTCAAGAGGTCAAGGGAGCTGTTTGCAGAGACTGTTAATATTTCTTGTTGGAAAGTCAATCAAACAACTACAAATAGATGCTAAACAACCGCACAGGAAAATGACCAGGTGAGACACAAAAAGACCACAAAGAGACATGAAATCACTACAAAGAGACACGCAACTACCACAAACAGATGCTAAACAACCACAGAGGGATTAAAATCAACCACAAAAAGATGCTAAACAACCACAACGACATCATTTTAAGTCAATCTGTGGGTCTTGTTGCAATGTAGGAGGGGTGGGGGGGTGGGGGCTTTTACGAGTCTGCACGGGGATGAATAATTACAACAGAAACACCACAAAACAGAGATTAAGAAAGCAGTGATTTATATCTGACTGACTGCAGACCCTCGTTGTAATATGTGAGCAAAGACACACACACACACACACACACACACACACACACACACACACACACACACACACACACACACACACTATAAACTGTATTTTTTTTGTCCTCTTCAATTTGTGAAATACGAAATAAATTGACACTTCGAATCTCTTTGAACTTTTAGGTTCATTCCATCACATCAACTAAACATTAAACAGCAAAAATTGATAAATGGAAACTGATAAATCTCTTTGAACAGCAGCGAGTGAAATGTGATGAGGCATCATAACCACCATTAGGCCTTCAAAATAAGTTATTAGATCTCAGGTAAACAGATAAACATAATTTATGTCATTTTACAGCATGAATTTCTTTAGGTTTTAGATCCCGGAGGGAGATTTGTTTTCACAGTCACTGTCCATATTCCAAACAGCATCATACAGGTATACACAATACATGAAATGGACACATATATAGTACATTCACACCCCTGCCTGTTTCCCAGCTCACACATGCACTCACACTGATGTGTTCAGATCTATACAACAGTGTCAATAAAGGCAGAGGGGTCAGGAGGGAACGCTCCGGCTAAAGCGAGTTCTCCATCTTAAGGTCTTGTATTTCTGAATGTGCTGGGCTGGTGTGTAAGCCTGTTTAAGAACAAATCACAGACTGTTTATTATTACCACATTTCATTAATATGAGAGACACTTTTGACACTTGCTTGAGATGTTAGAATAAACTTATGCTAGGTTTTATTTTTTTTATCAAACACTCATTATCTTTGTGCAATATTGCAGTTTGTGTGCGCTGATATCTGCAGCTCATTAAAGCTGTTTGGCAGCTAAGTCTGTAAGTGACACTATGTGACTTTGAAAATAAGAAACATCATTCCTCTAACAAAAAGAAAGAAATATCACACACTCTTACTCAGCTCATTACACTTAGGGGTTAAGCACTACAGTCGTAATTGGTCTGGGGTGGCCAGTAGCTCATGATAGTTAATGTTAACACACTTATATAAATATTGCTGTGTAGGAAACATTACTGAATGAGTTTCCTCACCTTCTGGCTCTTATTTACTTGTGCTACTGCGACCCTACTGCACCACCTCACTGTGAAGTCCAGCATTTTGTTTGCTTCAGTTCAGCTATTTTGTGCGAGCATAAATAAGAGAAGTGACACAACACTGTGAATAAAAAAAGGAGGCATTACAGAAAATAAGAAGCAGGATATGAGTGTGTGCAGGTGAGGCAGGAGCTACAAAAAAAACACGGAACTGAAATGCAGATGGAGATAAGATCCAAAGTGAGCGCGCGCAAATGAGCTAAACGACAAACATGACAACAACAACAATGATAAGGTTTATGTGACAGTGCTGTTATCAGTGCAGTGAAATGTCAGTTTCAGCGAGCGAACAGGTTTCACTGAGCCTCTACTGGAAAACAAAGCATCGATGCAACTGTGCGATTATCTGATAACGATTTGTCATGTGAAGTTGATGCGTCGGTTGAGATACGAGAGGCAATTTCTGCCGTGGTGCTTCATTAAACAGCCACAGTGTGCTGAGAAATGAGCCTCTAAAGATCGTGTTTGTTTAATCTGTGCGAAAAGAGATTAAAGAAATGTAACATGTTAATTAGTGAGATTTAGTGGTGCTGGTTTGGACAGAGCCAGGCTCGCCGTTTCTCCCCCCGTTTACAGTCTTTATGCTAAGCTAAGCTAACCTTCATATTTACACAGAGACATGAGAGAGGTATCAGTCTTCTCATCTAACTCGCTGCAAGACAGAATTGTGAAACGAAAACAGAGAGAATTTGCTGCAAATACAGTAGATTTCTGCTCAAATTTGTGCATCACAATTTGATTCATCACAAAAAGTTAATGAGACATCAAGAGGTTGTTCCAGCTCAGCAGTATGTTCTGCATCTATCCACATATTTGTTTCTTTGTACGGCAAATCCTAACTGAAACCAGCTGCTGATCAGAAATTGGCGGTTAGATTATTATGTCATTATTAACAAAAACCCTGACAAAAGCCGAAGCTGCTGAGGAAAAAGATGCAGAAGAGACAGATACGAAACAATAGAAAGAGAAGGAGCATTGATGTGTTTTGATAGGAGGTCAGGGGGAGGGGCGGGAGCTGCATGGGTATTTGGGTCAACCATGGACCAATGGATGGAGCAACACTTTCCACAATGAAGGGCAGAGATGAAATGACAGAGAGGGAAGTGAGAAAAAAAAAAAAATTCAAAATCCAATTAATGCAGGGAAATTTCCGCAGAGGTCCCAACCCAACAGCTTAGGGCAAAACAAAATGCGTCGACCGGATGCAGCGTGGAGCGTGGGGTAGAGAAGTGGGTGTTTATCATGCTTGGTTAATCCATTAGCAACATGCAGAGAGTGGGCTTTTGTTCAGGATAGCCCTTTGCTTGGCTCTTATAAAGGCAGATCACAGCAGAGGAAAACAACCAGTGACTGGCCTCTTCCACTTTTTATTAAAGCCAACAAGTGAGACAGAAATGATGACATGAATCTGACTGTATTTCTAAATTAGATAACACTATCTAGTGATTTCATTGTACGAACAAACAATACCTACCCACCCCCCCCCTCACACACACACACACATACACAAAACCATAAACACTGGTACAATCTGAGGTTTAGTCACCATTGCATTGCTTTGATTCAGTCTTTACTCTCTCTCCTCTTTCATCCGTACGACCTGCATCCTCCACACTGAGAGATCCACATCCTCACAAACAAGCAAGAGCATCGGGAATCCCCATCCCTCTGAAGCAAGTGCACAAGGCATCAAAAAGCACCACAACTCGCAGCGCGGCGAGCCCGTAGCATCGACCCATCAAGAGAGTCAAACCCCAAGACAAAGGACGTCAATATACCCAGAGAGAGGGAGAACACAGCCCCCCGCAAAAGCAACAAAAGCTTACCCCCAGTCCTCCATTAACAGCGGCTAAGGCTACAGCTAGGAGAAAAGAGACACGTGGGCT